GTGCGTAGAGGAATGCGTTGGCGACGTCGATTTGCCGCAACTTCTTTTTCTTCATGGCGGCGATCGCGAGGATGATTCGAAGTGAGGTATGTCGGTTAACCGGGGCGAATGTCTCGGTGAAGTCCCGTCCGTGCTCTTGATCGAATCCACGCACAACCCAACATGGTTTGAATTTCTCAATTGTGCCATCGGCTTTTGTTTTAACGCGGAAGACCCATTTCTCGGTGAGGATGGTTTTGTTCCTCGCCACGCTGATGGGGACGACTTTCCAGGTGTTCCGGTCCTCCAGCGCCTTTAACTCTTTGTCCATGGCTTCACGCCATTTCTCCCTGTGTCCCCCCCCCAGAGCCTGCTGAACCGTCGCAGGCTCCTTAGGAAGAGTGTCTCCGTGGACTGCGGTGACGAGGCCGAGTATCTGCAGTCCAGTTTGTGAGTAGCGGGGAAGATTTGCGTCCTCGGGATAGGGTGCTTCATCTCCCGCTTCTGGATCGGGTAAGAAATTTGGTCCTACTCGTTCTGCTTCGTTGGTGTTGACTGTCGCAGGTGTTACGTAACCGTTGTCGGCGAAGTAGTAGAAGGTTTCGGCGTTGACGCTTTCGCGAGGGTTGTCTTCGTCCATGGGAATTTTGACGGAGCAGAACGGTAGAGGTCCGGCTTCTTCTGACGCGTTGTCCACATTCTGCTCGTCCCAGTCAGCTTCGTCTTCTGCGGAGGCGAAGGCTCGGTCTCCACGAAAACCACCTATGGGATCTTGGTCCTCTTGCAGGTTGGCAAGATATGTCTGGAGTGTGAGTCGTTCGTAGAAGATGACGTCGCGTGCTGCTACTGTTTCCTTGGAGTGGATGTCGAAGATTTTCCATGCGTTGTAATTCTTTTTGATGCCGAGGTGTAGTCCCCACTGTGCGCGTTGTGAAAATCTTCCCGCTCGTGCTGCTGGGGGTCGGTACTGTACCATGCATCCGAACACTCGTAACATTTTTGTGCTGCCCTGTTTCCCTGTCCACAGCAGATGCGGTGATGCGTTGTTCGGAAGCGATGATGACGACAGCAAGTTGTGCAGCATGACAGCGTGGTCCATTGCTGCAGGCCACTGGTGGTTGGGTAGCCGCATGCCACGCAACAGTTTGCGCATGCTGTTCTGCAGAGTCCTATTCATTCTTTCTGCTACGCCTTGCTATTGATGGGCATAGGGAAGGGAGAGGAGCTGCTTGATGCCTCTTTCCGCCAGGTACTGCTTGAAGCGTTGAGAGGTGTATTCTCCTCCTCCGTCTGACTGGAAGCTTTTCAGCTTTACGCCCGACTCTCTCTCTGCTACTGGTAGCCAGGCAGCGAACGCTGCGAGGGCCATGTCGCGGCTGGGTAGGTTTAGGTGCCAGACGTAGCGGGTGGCGGCGTCGATGAAGGTGATTGTGTGGTTGTAGATTACTTGTCCTGGCTCCCGATTGTACAGGATGTCGCTGTACACTTTTTCGAGTGGTGCGTACGCGGGTGCGTTCGGGTTGTGACGAGGAGCGAACGGCCGATGTGGTAAGTCGGCTTCGGGGCAGGTGAGGCATGTTCCTCGTGCTCGTTGAAGTTCTCTTCCGTCGAGTAGTAGTAACGAGTCCTTGTCAAGGACTCCTGCTCTTATGGTGTTGTTTAACACAGTGTTGCTTGCGTGTCCCATTCTTGCGTGCCAGGTACTTTCGTCGGCGCGATACCCGGGTGATCGTCGGTACACGTCGGAGTTGGAGTAAAAGCTGGCGATGAAGTTGGCGATACGGTGAACTTCTCGTGGTGCTGGGTGGAGCTGTTGTGCTGGAGTTGGCGGTGTTTCATCGACGAGGACTGGTGTCGTTGTTGCTGCTGCTCTTGTTGTTCCTGTTGCTGATGATGTTGTTTCTGCTGCTGCCGATGTTGTTTCTGCTGCTGCCGATGTTGTTTCTGCTGCTGCCGATGTTGTCTCTGCTGCTGCCGATGTTGTCTCTGCTGCTGCCGATGTTGTTTCTGCTGCTGCCGATGTTGTCTCTGCTGCTGCCGATGTTGTTTCTGCTGCTGCCGATGTTGGCTCTGCTGCTGCCGATGTTGTCTCTGCTGCTACTGAATGTTGAATTGTTACTAGTGCGCGTGTTCGTTCTGCTTCAGGAATGGTATGTGAATACCAAAAGCCTTCCGGACTGAAGTCTGGATCAAGATCTGGAGGGTGTGTCCAGTCGGCGAAGTTCACGATGGCGTCGCTGTCTGCGGTGCCCAGGTCTGGGACGAAGTCGAGGACGAAGACGTTGTTCTTCAGGACCGCCTTTCCGATGTAGAGGCCGCCCATCCCGTGGTACAACTTGAACTCCTGGGTGGTACTGTCGGCTTCCAGGTGTATGCCTTTCGCCATCAACTGACTGACACTTAGTAAGTTGTAGCCGAGTCCCTCCGCGATTAGTACCTTTGACATCTGTAGTATGACATTTGTCTCTCGTGACTGAAGTTGCACAATTCCTTGTTGTCGTGTGCGCAGGTTCTGGTTGTTGGCGACTGTGATGACCACCTCTCGTTGAAGTCGGTGCTCGCGTTGAACGAAGCGTCCCAAGGAGCACATGTGCTGTCCGCAACAACTGTCCAAGAACCATGTGTCTTTTCCGGACGGCTCGCTTTGAGCGATGGCGGCGTACGTCGGGTTCGGTTGAAGTGACTCGCGGCGAGGCGTGCTGTTGTCGAGTTGTTCTTCTGGTGAGTAATGTGGTGGTGACTCAATTGCGCAGGAGTCGCTTAGCCTTGCCATGCAGCTGACGATGTTTCTTGCTTCTTTTGCAGGTTGTCTTGTCGATATTGTTGACACTTGTACCGAGGTTGTCGGACTTGCTCGTGTTGAGGCAACTTGACTACTTGAAGGACGAAATTGGCGTTGCGGCGACGTTGACTGTTGTCGATTCGGGCAGTGAGTACGAGGATGCCCTGAAGTCTTGCAGATGTGGCAGAACGGAGGTACTGGCTTCGGTTGTTGTAGTTGTAGTTGTAGCGTCGCTGAGTGTGGAACGCGAATTCGGGTACTGATGCCTTTTTCTTGTGTCGTTCTTCTTGCAGGTCCATGTCTTGCTGCTCAGCATGGATTTCGGCGCAGAGTGCTGCTTCGGAGATTCTCCCGTGTGCTCGTAGTATGGCGCGAGTGGAGCGCCAGTGAGGACCAAGACCGCGGATGACAAACGTGACGAAGGCGTCTTCTGAAATTGATCCTCCACATCGAAGAAGCTTGTCGCGCAGCTCGCGGCAGCGACTGATATACGCCATTCCCTTCTCGCCTGGTTTCATCTCGATTGTTGTCAACTGCGCCATTAACCGACTTTGGTTTACGCTGTCTGTTGCTTAATACAGGTTCTTCAAGTGGTTGTACGCGAGCTCTGCAGAGTTGCCATATCCTCGGTAAGTCCTTATGTTCTGCTGTTGAGTCGGTGTGATGTTCCTCAGTAGTATCGTGTACGCCATCATTGATTGATAGGTGTACTGCTGCTTCTCATACTGTGTGTCGTTTGTTGGGTATGGCAGGGACCCGTCGAAGAAGCCAAGAATTTGCGCTCCTTCCATCATCAGCTCGAATTCGAATGACCAGGTAAAGAAGTCCTTCCCGTCGAAAGGTTTTGTCGTTTGCAGTTTTAAGACGTGCGCGAACTGCGACTGAACTTGTAGTGCGTCCAACGCTCTTTCTTGTCCCGGTGCAGGTTGTGGTTGTGGCATGAAGCTGACGGAGCCGCGCTGGGGCTCGTACGGAGCGAAGATAGGTTGTTGTTGTTGGTTTCCGCGCGCGTAGGATGAGCCATCGAGACTCATGGGTGTCACGTTGTTGTTGTTGTTGTTGCTGTTGTTTGATGTCGCAGGTACTCCTTGCTGGTGCTGCTCGTAGAAGGACATGAAGGAGAAGAATTTCTCCATCATGCTTGGATCGAAGCCCGCGCCTTGGTTTGCGGGTGTTTCATTAGACCCAGCGGCTGGTCTTGTTGTTGTGCCTTCCTCTGTCTGTAGACCAGAGGCAGGAGGTGGAGTAGGAGTGGTACCAGGAGAGCCGTTGGAGGAGCATCAAAGGAGTAATAGAGTTTTACCCTAACTGCTCTCATACCATGTTGGGCTGAATGCCCCTTAGGATCTTTGGTAGGATGAAACTCTAGGTAAAGTGATGTAATAGCGGAAGCGTTTAAGAGAAGATTCTGAACCACCTTGCGCTGGTATGTGAGGGCAAAGTAAGTTGATTAAAGCAAAGAGATACAAGATTATATAAGAGTACAAGGAATACGAAGAGATACGGTTGTAACTACTTTTACTGTTGCTGTTGCGGTTTGATACAGTGACGACTTGGGCAACTGCTCAGTATCGAGTCAGTTGTGTGTCCTTGCTGTCGCGCTGCATTTGTCAAGTTAAAGGTCGCTGACCTTTGACCTTCGCGTAACCTCCAGCGGTTACTTCAACCTCCGAGGATTGACTCGCTGGTGCCTCGATATGATTTGCTTCGCTTGTGCCTTGGTGTTTCGACACGATAGAAGCGCTTTATGACCGATTGTTTCCAACAGCAGATTGGCTGGGCGGGAACGTAAATTTTGTTGAGTTTCTAGTTTTTTTGGCGGGAGTTACGTGTGAGACCATACGCGTGATTTTTTACCTGTTGTTAGTGACTGAATCCGTGACCCCGCTTACCAAACCCGTCAGAAAACCCGAGACAATGACCGTACGCGTTTTTTTTTTTTACAATTCACGTTATCGAGTCCGAGTTGGTTACTTGAGGCATATTTTCGCTGGTTTTAATACCGCGATGCGCATGAATATTACGACATAAATCCTGGTGCTTTCCAAAGCCAAACATTTTCCAAAATATCTCACTCTGGTTTGTAACATGAGTGGTATCCTATACAACGCCACGTTCCAACATCTCGCTATGTACCTTTGAGAAACACATGTTGATAAAAGAGCGCAGAATCATCTGCCACATAACCACCAAAAGCAATCACCTCTTGTTAAAGTTCACGTCGAGTATAAAAAAAGATTTACGACGAACCCTCGTCAAGGGGTGTAGCACCACCCACATCACTGGCAACTGCTAACGCATCAGCCAGCAGATCGGATGCATCTCCATCATCCATTGCAGGCTCCTCATTCAGCAATACCCCAGCTCTGTTACCACCAGCATCTGCTCCATTCGTATCAGCAGCTGCTCTTGCACTGTCAACGCTGTCAGCAGCAGCAGAGGTGTTGGCTGCATCAGCAGCACCAGAAGCAGCACCAACATCAGCGGCAGCAGTAGGAGGGCCGAGGCTGGCACTGCTTCCGAGGTTGGCCCGCGCTCGAAGCTCATCGAATGCCCGCATGCTTTCCGCGTCAAACCCTCCTGCGAACTGCAGACAAGGGAAAACAATGGTAATAGCAGTGGGGATATATAGTTCGTGAGACGTCTCAACACTAGAGCTCGAAGCTCATTGAATGCCCGCATGCTTTCCGCGTTAAACCCTCCTGCGAACTGCAGACAAGGGTAGGCAACGGGAATGGAAGGCGGCAGTAGCAGGGAGAAAGAGCACAAGTTGTGAGACGTCTCAACACCCGAGGTTGGCCCGTGGTGCTCGAAGCTCATCGAATGCCCGCATGCTTTCTGCGTCAAACCCTTCTGCGAACTGGACGCAACAGTACACAACGCGAAAGGCAGGCAGACAACAGCGGCGGCGGGGAGAATTAGAACAAACTGTGAGATGCCTCAACACTAGAAATTGACTTGTGCCCAAAGCCCGCCCGCATACTGTCTGCATCGAACCCTCCTGCGAACCGCACGCAAACGGTAATGGCAGGCGGAAGCATAAGTGGGGACAAAAAAGGAGGTGAAATGGAGATGACCGCGAGAGTTTTTATATGCACTGCATAAACAGTCATGGCAGGCAAGAAGTTGACTCTGGAGATACAGCTCGACAGGTGTAACTGGCAAACAGCAGGTGTAATCGGGAACATTTGAGTCGAATCAAGAACTGGAGATACAACTGGGCAGGTGAGAAGTTGACTCTGGAGATACAGCTGGGCAGGTGTAACGGGCAAACAGCAGGTGAATTGGAGAGAGTTGCAGAGCGGAAGGGAAGGAAGTGTTGGTGGGCATGGGCAGGATGTGATTACACATGCTGGTTAGAGGAGTCAGTAACAATGAGTGTGTAACAGCACGATATGGCAACATCATGCGATGGTAAAATCACGAAGGCCAAGGCCGAAGTGGGCAACAAGAGAAAGCCAACGACAACCAAATGGGCGAGTGGAAGGGGATGAGATGGGGAGTGGATGGTGTGTTCGAAGAGAATAGAGCAGCAGGCGGCTTAAAGCTGGCAAACCGCACCTGGTGAGTGCGGAAGGCGAATCGCACGGCCTGCAGCAGCAGGAACTCTCGGATAGGCTCGCTCTCGGGCTCATTCCCTAGCTTGTCAAGCTCCGATGTGACGCGCGTGATGTAGCATCGTGCCAGACGAACCGATGCCAGCCGGATCTGTGTTGAGACAGGGGAGAGGAGAGGAGAAGTGGGAGGGAGGAAGACGATCAACAGACTGGCTCGCTCTCGGGCTCGTTGCCTAGCTTGTCGAGTTCCGATGTGACCCGCGTGATGTAGCAGCGGGCCAGACGCACAGAGGCTAGGCGGATCTGAGGTGAGGCAGAGGAGAGGAGGGGAGAGGAGAGGAAGCAGGAACTCTCTGATGGGATCGCTCTCGGGCTCGTTGCCTAGCTTGTCCAGCTCTGATGTGACCCGCGTTATGTAGCATCGCGCCAGCCGCACAGAGGCTAGGCGGATCTCAGATGAGGGAAGGGGAGAAGAGAGGAGAAGAGGGAGGGCGGTGGACGATTAACAGATAGGCTCGCTCTCGGGCTCGTTGCTTAGCTTGTCCAGCTCCGATGTGACCCGCGTGATGTAGCATCTTGCCAGACGAACCGATGCCAGCCGGATCTGTGTTGAGGCAGGAGAGGGGAGGGGATAGGAGGGGAAGAGGAGGGAGGTGGAAGGGGTTGGCAGACAGGATCGCTCTCGGGCTTGTTGCTTAGCTTGTCGAGTTCTGAGGCGCCTAGAAATTGTTGCCTAGCTTTTTGAGCTCGGATGTCACCTGCGTCATGTAGCAGCGGGCCAGACACACCGATGCCAGACAAACTCTCTGTTGCAGTAGGGAAGGGGAGGGGAGAGGAGGGGAGGGAAGTAGATGATGAGCAGGGAGGCTCGCTGTCTCCCCAGCTTGTCAAGGAGAGGAGAGGAAGCGAGGGGGAGCGAGGTGGAAGATCAGCAGACGGGCTACCCCTTCAGACAGAGGCTCGTTGCCCAGCTTGTTAACTTCTGATTTTCTTCTGAGGCGCCCTGCAACGGCTTCAGAGGCTCGTTGCCCAGCTTGTGAGGCTCTGATCTTCTGCTTCCCGCCTCCATGGACGCATCTGAAATAGCAACGAAGAGACTTATAATACCCCCAGCTTACGTTTTGTAGAACAAGAATGAGGCGCCTCAACGAAGAGACTTATGATACCCCCCGCTTACTTTTGAGGCGCCTAAAAAAAAAATAATACCCCCAGCTTACGTTTTGTAGAACAAGAATCGTTGCCCAGATTGTTAAGAAAGCTTCCCAACCTGTCCGTTCTCGATTACCGTCTAGAACTCTCAAACAAGCGCCTCATCTGCTCCCCCCACCTTTCACCATCACCTCCCCCCACCATCACCTCCCCCCACCATCACCTCCCCCCACCATCACCTCCCCCCACCATCAACTCCCCCAACCATCACTCCCCCCACCATCACTCCCCCCACCACCCCCTGCCCTCACCTTGCCCACAAGGCCGTTATCGAGAATCCAGTAGGTGGGCACTCCAAACTCAGCACAGCGAGCAATTGCCATGTGAACTCCCTCACCGAATTGCCAGTCCCTGACACTGTCAGGATCAACCCACCCCACCACCACTACCCCAACCATCACCTCCCCTCACCTTGCCCCATCTACCACGTCCCTCCACCTTGCCCACAAGACCATTGTCGAGTATCCAGTAGGTGGGCACTCCAAACTCGGCGTAGCGTGAGAGATGACCTTGGGAGGTGGCTTCTCTGTCTGACTTTTGAGACGTCTCAAAAGTGACCTTGGGAGGTGGCTTCTCTGTCTGACTTTTGAGACGTCTCAAAAGTGACCTTGGGAGGTGGCTTCTCTGTCTGACTTTTGAGACGTCTCAAAAGTGACCTTGGGAGGTGGCTTCTCTGTCTGACTTTTGAGACGTCTCAAAAGTGACCTTGGGAGGTGGCTTCTCTGTCTGACTTTTGAGACGTCTCAAAAGTGACCTTGGGAGGTGGCTTCTCTGTCTGACTTTTGAGACGTCTCAAAAGTGACCTTGGGAGGTGGCTTCTCTGTCTGACTTTTGAGACGTCTCAAAAGTGACCTTGGGAGGTGGCTTCTCTGTCTGACTTTTGAGACGTCTCAAAAGTGACCTTGGGAGGTGGCTTCTCTGTCTGACTTTTGAGACGTCTCAAAAGTGACCTTGGGAGGTGGCTTCTCTGTCTGACTTTTGAGACGTCTCAAAAGTGACCTTGGGAGGTGGCTTCTCTGTCTGACTTTTGAGACGTCTCAAAAGTGACCTTGGGAGGTGGCTTCTCTGTCTGACTTTTGAGACGTCTCAAAAGTGACCTTGGGAGGTGGCTTCTCTGTCTGACTTTTGAGACGTCTCAAAAGTGACCTTGGGAGGTGGCTTCTCTGTCTGACTTTTGAGACGTCTCAAAAGTGACCTTGGGAGGTGGCTTCTCTGTCTGACTTTTGAGACGTCTCAAAAGTGACCTTGGGAGGTGGCTTCTCTGTCTGACTTTTGAGACGTCTCAAAAGTGACCTTGGGTGGTGGCTTCTCTGTCTGACTTTTGAGACGTCTCAAAAGTGACCTTGGGAGGTGGCTTCTCTGTCTGACTTTTGAGACGTCTCAAAAGTGACCTTGGGAGGTGGCTTCTCTGTCTGACTTTTGAGACGTCTCAAAAGTGACCTTGGGAGGTGGCTTCTCTGTCTGACTTTTGAGACGTCTCAAAAGTGACCTTGGGAGGTGGCTTCTCTGTCTGACTTTTGAGACGTCTCAAAAGTGACCTTGGGAGGTGGCTTCTCTGTCTGACTTTTGAGACGTCTCAAAAGTGACCTTGGGAGGTGGCTTCTCTGTCTGACTTTTGAGACGTCTCAAAAGTGACCTTGGGAGGTGGCTTCTCTGTCTGACTTTTGAGACGTCTCAAAAGTGACCTTGGGAGGTGGCTTCTCTGTCTGACTTTTGAGACGTCTCAAAAGTGACCTTGGGAGGTGGCTTCTCTGTCTGACTTTTGAGACGTCTCAAAAGTGACCTTGGGAGGTGGCTTCTCTTTCTGACAGCCAGTCACTCCCTGACGCCCCTATCACCCCCTCACCTTGCCCACAAGGCCGTTATCCAGGATCCAGTAGGTGGGCACTCCAAACTCAGCGTAACGTGAGATGGCCATGTCTCTTGTGCGCAGCAGCGCGTATATACTCTGCTCCACCCTGCACACACACACACACACACACACACACACACACACACACACACACACACACACACAGGGAGAAAGAGATACCAGGAGTCATGTGACAGACAGAGGACAAAGAGCACAAAGAGAGAGACGCTCGATACCACTTTCAGTCAGCACACAGAACAATGAGAGTTGGCCATGTCTCTCATACACAGCAGCGCAGGGAGTTTTTGAGAATTCTCAAAAACTCCCTAAATCTTCTGCTCCACCCTGCTATAATCACAAGAGCACGAACCCCCCCAGGAGTTTTGAGTCGACTCAAAACTCGACTTGTGCTCCACCCTGCTATAATCACAACAGCACGAACCCCCCCAGGAAAGCACTCACCTCTCCATCAGCACGTGTAAGAGGGTTAGAGTCGACTAAAAATTTGACGTAACATTTTCTTGGATGCCTGGTCGGTGGGCACGTCAGGGTCGTCCATGTAGCTGCCAAGGTCGCGCTCCAGCCTCCACTCAAGGCAAAGCACGGGACACAGCACTCACCAACAATTCAAGGCAAAGCACGGGCCACAGCACTCATCAACCACTCCACCCCGCCCGCCCTTCCCGTTCCCCCTTCTTCTCACAACCCCACTCACTTCTCCAGCACATGGAACATTGTCTTCAGAGCCTGGTCGGTGGGCACGTCAGGATCATCCAAGTAGCTGCTCAGATCTAACCTCACGAGGTCCCGCATTTCCCACACCAGGTCTTGAAACTCAAAGACCGCCCCCCAACACTGATGCAACCCCCCTCACGCAACCCCACTCACTTCTCCAGCACGTGGAACATTTTCTTGAGTGCCTGGTCAGTGGGCACGTCTGGGTCATCCATATAGCTGCCCAGATCCCGCTCCAGGCGCACCAAATCCTGGAACTCAAAGGTGCACCTTGCAACAGGGAACTGACCCCCCACTCACTTTTCCAAGACATGGAACATTTTCTTCAGAGCCTGGTCGGTGGGCACGTCAGGGTCGTCCACGTAGCTGCCTAGGTCCCTCTCCAGCCGCACTAGGTCCTGGAACTCAAACGCCGCCTCCCTCAGCGCGTCCGCCTTGGCCTCGGGCCAGTCAAAGTGCTTCAGCACTGCGCGCTCGTCCACCTGGGGTTGAAGAAGGGGAGGGGGAGAGAGGAGAGAGGGACAGGAGGGTTGGGATCGGCCCTCTTGCTCCAGGCGCACCAAATCCTGCAACTCAAACGCTGCTTCCAGTCAAAGTGCTTCAGCACTGCGCGCTCGTCCACCTGTGCGTGGGGAGAGGAATGGGGAGCGGGAGGGGAGGAGAGATGAGGGAGGGGAGATTGAGAGGAGAAGGGGGGAGCCGCCTCCCGCAGGGCGTCTGTCTTGTCTGTCAACAGTGCCCGCTCGTTCACCAAGGGGTGTGTGGGGGAGGAGGGGGGGGGGGGGGGGGGTGGTCTAGTAGGGTGGCGTTGATAACGCTTACTGCGGAAAGGCGAGCCTCTCGCAGGTGGGATGGACACTGATCGCTCCCCTCGCTCCCAGATACTAAATACTGGAATCAGAGCGGGCTTGATGCAGCTGCTGCCAAGGACATACCAGGAACGCCAGGGACATACCAGGAACGCCAGGGACATACCAGGAACGCCAGGGACATACCAGGAACGCCAGGGACATACCAGGAACGCCAGGGACATACCAGGAACGCCAGGGACATACCAGGAACGCCAGGGACATACCAGGAACGCCAGGGACATACCAGGAACGCCAGGGACATACCAGGAACGCCAGGGACATACCAGGAACGCCAGGGACATACCAGGAACGCCAGGGACATACCAGGAACGCCAGGGACATACCAGGAACGCCAGGGACATACCAGGAACGCCAGGGACATACCAGGAACGCCAGGGACATACCAGGAACGCCAGGGACATACCAGGAACGCCAGGGACATACCAGGAACGCCAGGGACATACCAGGAACGCCAGGGACATACCAGGAACGCCAGGGACATACCAGGAACGCCAGGGACATACCAGGAACGCCAGGGACATACCAGGAACGCCAGGGACATACCAGGAACGCCAGGGACATGAATCAACTGGCTCCTAGTCCAGCCGGACTTTTGAGGCGCCTAAAAAGTAGTCGAAGCGGAATCAAAGCAAACCTACCAGGAACGCCAGCTCCTCGTCGAGCCAGTTGACGAACGCCACAACGTCCTCAATGTCAAAGTAGGAGGCGTCGCGCACCTCCCTTGCCAGGGTGTTGATGAAGTCGCCCTGCATCTCCACGTCCTGCTTGATCTGTTGAGGGGAGTGGGAGAAGGGTTGTGCGAAGGGTTGTGTGACAGAGTGAGGCGAGCGCAGTTGAGGGAAGAGGAAACACTGCCACAGGTGTGAAAAAGCGCTGCTAGAAAACCAGGAGAACAAGAGAGAGAGAGAGAGAGAGAGGATACCCCTTAGCCCTCTGCCCTCTGCCTCACCCCTCTGCCCTCCGCCCTCCAGAGCTATTTAAGGGCTGTTTCTCTCTCCCCCTCCTCATTATTTCGTGTGGAGTTCATTTCCGGCGGGAGAGAGCGAGAGAGAGAGAGAGGATACCCCTTAGCCCTCTGCCCTCTGCCTCACCCCTCTGCCCTCCGCCCTCCAGAGCTATTTAAGGGCTGTTTCTCTCTCCCCCTCCTCATTATTTCGTGTGGAGTTCATTTCCGGCGGCTCGCGCCGGCGGCCTTCGGCCGCCGCCGCTCGCCAGCGCGGCCTTCGGCCGCGCGCTCCTGGTGGCAAGGAACAAGGCAGTGGACTGCTATTCCAGGAGAAACACGCATGCACAGGAATCAAGGGAGCAGAGCCTAGGCAAGAGAGAACGGCATGCAATATTACACGCGGCGGAGGCCTACATCGTGTACGGCTCCGCCCCCTCCATCTCAAGCATCGAGCGCATACACGCCGATACCGCAAGAAGAAGATGCGCCGATGACTGGAGCACGTCCAGGGGGGTCCCGGCCTGAGCAGCCCCTACAAGATCCCCCACGTGGCGGGGGAAAGTACGGGCTAAGGGAGCTACCCCGGCGGGCGCTTCCGACACGGGCGCCAACGGCGACTCGAGCGATCCTGCCAAAGTCACGCAGGATCCTCGGGATCCTGGACCGAAACTGCTCGGAAAGTTCCGGGTGGCCCCACACACTGCCAGCTGCAAGTTCGCCACCACCTCGCACGCCTCCGCCAGATTCAATATCCGGCACATGGTCAGCATGGGGTCTCTCTCCACGGGATTGGGGTGAGGTGCAGTCTGCTCTTCGAGCGGAAACGACGCCGACCAGCCAGGAACGCGGCCAACAGTCAAGCGCCCAGCGGAGAAGCCAGGAACCTGACGAGGGGAGCGATAGTCGGGTCTCCCCACCCGCGCGGGCAGATACTCGGCCAACATCGGCGCGCGCAGTGGGGCCACCGGGCCGGGATCCGCGGCAAAGGGAGGGCCATTTGTCACCTCGATGTGAACGTGAGTCGGCCCCCCGCTCGCCCGGGCCTGCCGCACCACATCCACGAATGTGTTCGCAGCGTGATCAAGAACAGGATCCGGCTGGCGGCCAGATGAGCCGCGCCCTCCGCCATTCCGCCGGCCCCGCCGCCCAGCGGAACCACCCGAATTCGGACGCGGAGGGGACTGCTCGCGACGACCTGATTCCCAGCGACGCCCAGGCGACCCCTTCCCCCGCGTCGCCGGAGCTCGCCGCGGTGATTGTTGAGCGGGGGATCGCGCTCGGGGTGAGCGCTGGCCTGCTCGACCACGAGGAGACGGGCGCCGAGGAGAGCGAGGACGCTCAGGGGAGCGCGGATCCCCCTCCCTGCGCTGATAATGTTCGCGACGCGCGGGAGATAGGCGACGAGGAGACGGCTGCCGTTGGGGATGACGCTGAGGCGAGCGCCCGCGCTGCTGCGGCTGCTGACCGTCAGGACGGTTCGACGCTACACGCGCAGGAGCCCACGAATACTCAGGGGGGGAGAGGCGCGAGGCTGGCTGATGGGGAAGAGTCTGCACCCGCTCGAATCGGTGAACGGGCTCGCTTGCGGAGGGATGCGCAGGAAGTCGTGGCCGAGGCTCGGCAGGCGCAGGCTCCCGCGGCGCGCTCTCCGCGGAATGCTCAAGCTCCGGATCCCGTCTTGCGGACGGGTCCATCACTCCCGACCGTAGCGCAGCAGATGCCAGCGCGCCGACGAAGGGAAGGCGAGACGACCGCGGCGCCGCTGGCGGGGCGCGAGGGAGTCGCAGTAGCAAGAGCAACGCGCGGAATCTGCGTCGGACGCGGCAGTCGCCGCGGACGAAGGGGTAGCGAGCGGGGACGGAGAGGCGGCGGTGCGCGGGGCACGAACAGACGCCGCACAGGAGCCAGCGGCTTCGCGAGAAACGCGGAGAGGCTGATACGTCAGAGCGCGAGAGGCGGCGAGGAGGAACTTCGCGAGGAGGCTGAGGAGGCTACGGAGAATGAGAGAAGTGACGAGGGGGACCCCTTATTTAACCCTGAAAGAGAGGGGTTGTTAGGGGTTGAAGTCGAGGAGGATGACGAGGAGTTGGATCGCCTACTCCAAGGAGAGGAGGTCCCCAGCCCACGTGCCCGAGGCGTTCCTGCCAACCAAACCAGATCCGAAGGTGTGGGGCAAATCCCAAACCTGGGCCGAGCCGCATCTGCAACCCCAACCCCCAGAAATCGGACCGCGAGACCAAACCGAACCGCCCCCAACATTGCGGTTACCACCGCCCCAGCCAGTAACGCGGGCCCAACGCCTGCCACCCCCGCCCCAATCATCAGCGCTGACATCCTGGCAAGACGTCAAGACCTTTTCGCTGACATCGCCAACTGGGACCTCGGCCCGCTGCGCGACAGCAGACAGCCACCCCTTGCCCGCCACCCTCCTCGCCCACTTCGCGAATCCTTCGCCATCTGCCTGCTGACCCCACTTCTGCACCTCGCCATAACCCCTGATTCCACTCCTGGTTGGAAGCTGCTGATGTTTCTCCCGCGAATTCTCCTGCGCTCGTCATCTGCACGAAAACCAGACTGGAAGGCAATGGGCGACAGACTGACGAGATTTCGCCAAGGGCAGTGGCGCGGCCTTTACGACGAGGCGGCAGAAGCAGTGAACAACAACCCCCAACCACGCCACGTACCTGACACCACGGGAAAGCTGGCGAGAGCCGAGGGATTAGCGAAAAGGGGAAACCTGGCGAAGTCCCTCCAGTCGCTAACTGCCACGCCCGTCTGCTCGCCAACCCCTGACGTATTGGCTGCGCTCACGGCCAGGCACCCAAGGGCCACCGCAGCCATCCCAGTCTGGGTGCAAGACTTTGCCCCTGAGACTCTGCCCTCAATCACAGCTCGCGAGTTCAGGAAGCTGCTTGCCCGTTGCCCCAACGGCGTAGGGGCTGGGCCATCAGGGACTACCTTCGAGCACTTGAGAGATGCGGCCCTTGGGAACACCGACGTCCTCCTACAACTGCACGCGCTTACCAACACGGCGCTAGCGGGTAAACTGAGCGCCGAGGCTGCAGATCTACTCACCGCTTCGCGCCTGCTCGCCTTCACGAAACCCCAAGGCGGAACTAGGCCAATAGCCGTGGGCGAATGTCTGCTGCGTATTGTCACAAAGGCGGCGCTCTTCCTGGCCGCCCCTGCAGCGCGCGACCACTTCACCCCGCTACAATTCGGTGTGGCGATCGCGGGGGGCATCGAGGCAGCGATACACGCGGCCCGCACCTACCTGGAGGAGTTCCCCGGAGCAACGGCCCTCCAGATCGACCTGGCAAACGCTTTCAATGCCGTGGAGCGCGCGGCGGTGTTTGAAGGACTGAAAGGCACGAAGCTTGACACCCTGGTCCCCCTCGTCCGCCTCTCATACGGCCGCCCATCAGCCCTCTACCTCGACCACGATTTCGAGGCGGCGCCTCTACAGAGCGCGCGAGGCGTGCGCCAGGGAGACCCACTGGGGCCTATGCTGTTCGCGGCCAGCATCCACCCCTGTCTCGCTGCAACGGCGACGGCCCACCCAGAGGTGGTGCTCCTCGCGTACGCAGATGACATCACCCTGCTAGGCGAGACTGCGAGCTGCACGGCGGCCTTCAACCACCTCACGGAAGCACTTCTCAGCCACGGCCTGTCCCACAACCCCGCGAAATGCGAAGCATGGTCCGCCACAGCCCTGGAGCCCGCCGCTCTGCCCCACGGCGTCACTATCTCCCGGGACGGGATCCGCGTCTTGGGCAGCCCGATTGGGCCCCCCGCCGGCTGCGCTGCCCGAGTGCGGGAACGCCTTAAAGCTGCTGCTGAACCGCTCCCGCTCCTCTCCCAGATGGACCCGCAACTCTGCCTGCTCCTACTTACCCGCTGCGTGAGCCGCCGCGCTTCGTTCATGGTCAGAGCCACGCCGCTTGAAGCCTTACCGCTGAGGGAATGGTCCGCCTGGGGGGAAGAACTGTTCCATACCTACCTTGCCGCAGCACACACAGAAATCCCCAGAGCCCGGGTCGAGAGGGAGAGGATTTGGCACCAGGCCGCCCTGCCCGCGTCCCTGGGAGGCCTGGGCATCACCAACCCTGCAGTGGAGGGGGGACATGCCTACCTGGCTGCAGTCACTGCTGCTGCACACCTGCTGCGAACCTTCGGCGACGCGGCAAACCCTGCTCTCACTGGACTGCTGCCGCTAATGGACTCCAACGAGGAATCTACGTCCCTCCTCCCAAGGCGCCTTGCTGCCCTAGAAGCCGTGCTGCCTCCTGAGGGGATCGAGGCCCTCCAAGTGGGGAGACAGAGACCGGACGGGCCAAAGCTCCAACAGTCGCTCTCCCTCGCGGTTCAAACTGCAAGGTTCATGCAACTGCTCGAGAGCTCGCGGGAGATGGAGCTCAACCCACTGTTCGGACACACGCAGCGGCTGCAGTCCCTCTTGGGCCCCGGCGCAGGGGACTGGCTGCTCGCCGTCCCGCTGATCTCCTCCCTCCGCCTCGGGCCCTCTCAGTTCTCCACAGCGGCCTCCTTCCGCTTAGGCCTCCCCCTACCTGTGCCAAGGCGCTGCGACTGCAGATACCGCACCACATTCCCCGACGACCGCCTACCGAACCATTTGATGCGGTGCGAGAAAGGGGGGGGGAGAATTGCAACCCACAATGCCCTTCGGGACGAGTGCGCAAAGATAGCTGCGGAAGCGGGCTTCACCGTGCATAAGGAGACAACGGCTTACTCACCGGTCGAAAACCTCAAAGCGGATATCTCTATCCGCCATCCCGACACCGGTGAAGTGTGGATCTGTGACATCACGGTCACGGACCCCGTCTCCCACCAGGATGAATACGCCCGTAAAGCTCCCGGTTGGGCTGCTAGAATGCAGGCGGACAAGAAGGCAAGCAAATACGCCAGGCGGAGCGCTTGGGTGGGCTTTTACGCCTTGGCGGTTGAGACCTACGGTTACCCCTCGAGTGGGGTCCTGGAATTCCTTCGCAGCTGCGCGGAGTTAGCGGCCATGCGGCGGTTCAACGCCACCCCCAAGTCGAGGGAATGCGCCAAGCTACTCACCGAGTACCGGCAGCGGTGGAGTGTGACCCTGCAGAGAGCGCAAGCCACTGCCCTCAGGGATAAGACCCATGAGGCCCTCACGGCGGATGCGCTCGGCCTGCAGGGCCCGTTTACTCCAATGAGTGAAGGGCAGCTGTATCAGTTGATAGAAGACCCCTCCGGCCATTAGGGCCGGGCGGGGAGGGGGGGGCTGGGGCTGGGATAGTGCGGGGTTAGCTGCTGTTTTGCTGTAGCCTTGCCGTGAGATTGCTGTAGCCTTACCATGTGTGTACCTTGCTGACATTAATACCAAGGCCCGTTCGAGAGAGAGGGGGGGGGGGGACAAACTCGGTTGCATCTGGCCAACTCTTACCTTTTTTTTCGGTTCCATATTTTTAGAAAATCCAGAATACAAAACTGCACTTACAGCGAGCAGGTGAGATGAGCGCCCTTCAATCTCGCCAATCATATCCCCTCTCACGGCCGTCATGCTCAACCCCTCCTCCGCCTCCCTCCCCCCAACACCTCCCAGTCCCTCCCTCTGCATCCTCATGAGCTGCTGATAGAACGCCACCACTTCAGGCGCCCTCCGCATCCCCTCATCGTCCATTCCCTCCTTCCCACCCAATTTCCCTCTGGGCATTGCGGGCGGCAATGGAACCCCACCGGCAGGCGGCAGGGGCGGTGGAAGTGGCACTGCGCCGCCCACTGCTTTGTTGAGCAGGGCGGCGGCGTGCGTCACTTCCATTTCCTCGTCCAGATGGCTCGGGCGGGTGGTTCGGGGCCTGGGCGGCGCGGACGGCACTCTTGGCTCGCGCTTCTCCGGGGCAGCGACGCGCGGCGTTTTCCCAACGGACGCGTTGGCCGAAATACCCGATTTTTTCAGGGCAGCCGCAGCTTCGGCCTGTTGGAGGTTAAAAATCTGCCGCTCCTGGGCCAGGAGATGCCGATCCTTGAACCCCGGGAATCGACGGTGCAGATTGTCCTTGTCGGGGCGGGACACGGATCGACGGACGAGATTGAAAGAGTCACCAATGGTGAAATCGCCCATGGGATTCATCATCATGCCTGGAGGTGGCTGCTTCATCTTGAGCTTTCGGAGAATTGCCTCCTTCCTCTCCTCATCCTGACCTCCCTCCCCTCCATATTCTCCACCCTCTCCTCCTCCGCCTCCTCCCCCACCTCCCCCGCTTCCTCCTCCTCCTTCCCTTCCTCCTCTGTGGCGTGCCCTTCGTTCTCCTTCATACCTGGCAGCAGCCCGAGCAGCAGCATCAGAAACAGCATCAGCACCACCACCACCAGAACTCCCATCACCACCACCACCAGCACCACCACCCGCAGCACCACCACCCCCACCAGCACCCCCAACACCCCCACCAGCAGCACCAGCAGCAGCGGTTTCCTCGAGGTCTCTTGCGGACTTGTTGCGGCGCCAGGTGAGGAAATTCTTGAGCTTGCTCGCTGCATCCTGCTGCGACATCGCCTGCAGAGACATCGTCCGCCCAAGCGCATCCTTCCCTCCCCCTGCTCCTCCCCCTCCTCCACCACCTCCACCACCCCCACCAACCCCACCACCACCCTCACCAAAACCGCCACCACCACCACCACCACCAGGACCTGCAGCCACTCCCACGCCCACTCCCCATCCTCCTCCTCTCCCTCCCGTCCCAGGCCCAGGCGTTCTCGCCTTCCTCCCTCCTCCTCCCGCTGCTCCCCCTCCCCCACCAGCAGCACCACGCCCATAGCTATCCGGGGAGGAATGGAAAGGTTCGTCTGTGGCGGCAGCGCTGCCGCGGTCGGGCGAGGAGGCGAAGGAGGCAGAGTCGTTGTAGAGAGAGAGGGAGTCGGAGTCGTCATCATTGTACCGACCTCCAGCAGCAGCTGAAGGTTCCCCACTGGGGTAGCCGTCGGCAAACTGCTGCATGAGGTGTTTCGCGCGGTCCTGAGGGGTACAGAGGGGTAAAGGAAGGGACAGACAGGGGAAGCGATGGTCAGGCGAGGAGGCGAAGGAGGCAGAGTCGTTGTAGAGAGACAGGGAGTCGGAATCGTCGTCGTTGTACCGACCACCAGCAGCTGAAGGTTCCCCTGTGGGGTAGCCGTCGGCAAACTGCTGCATGAGGTGTTTCGCGCGGTCCTGAGGGGTGCAGAGGGAAAGAAGAAAGGGGTAGGGAGAGGGGAAGGAAACACGAGGGGGATTGGCTGTTACAGGCAGCAGTGCTGCCTCGGTGGGCCAAGAGGCCAGGAGGCGAGGAGGCGAAGGAGGCAGAGTCGTTGTAGAGAGAGAGGGAGTCGGAATCATCGTCGTTGTACCGACCACCAGCAGCTGAAGGTTCCCCTGTGGGGTAGCCGTCGGCAAACTGCTGCATGAGGTGTTTGGCGCGGTCCTGAGAGGTGGAGAAGGGGAAAAAAGGAAGGGGAAGATGAAAGGGAATGGGAAAGGGGGGGGAAAGCGAGGGAGGTTGGGCATTATAAGCAGCAGCGCTGGCGCGGTCAGGCGAGGAGGCAAAGGAGGCCCTGTCTCTGTCTGTAGAGGGAGAGCGAGTTGGAGTTTATCGTGTGAGGCAACGCACCCTCACCTGGGAGCGTGGGGCGAAAGCAGCACCCTCACCTGGGAGCGTGGGGCGAAAGCAGCACCCTCACCTGGGAGCGTGGGGCGAAAGCAGCACCCTCACCTGGGAGCGTGGGGCGAAAGCAGCACCCTCACCTGGGAGCGTGGGGCGAAAGCAGCACCCTCCCCTGGGAGCGTGGGGCGAAAGCAGCACCCTCACCTGGGAGCGTGGGGCGAAAGCAGCACCCTCACCTGGGAGCGTGGGGCGAAAGCAGCACCCTCACCTGGGAGCGTGGGGCGAAAGCAGCACCCTCACCTGGGAGCGTGGGGCGAAAGCAGCACCCTCACCTGGGAGCGTGGGGCGAAAGCAGCACCCTCACCTGGGAGCGTGGGGCGAAAGCAGCACCCTCACCTGGGAGCGTGGGGCGAAAGCAGCACCCTCCCCTGGGAGCGTGGGGCGAAAGCAGCACCCTCACCTGGGAGCGTGGGGCGAAAGCAGCACCCTCACCTGGGAGCGTGGGGCGAAAGCAGCACCCTCACCTGGGAGCGTGGGGCGAAAGCAGCACCCTCACCTGGGAGCGTGGGGCGAAAGCAGCACCCTCACCTGGGAGCGTGGGGCGAAAGCAGCACCCTCACCTGGGAGCGTGGGGCGAAAGCAGCACCCTCACCTGGGAGCGTGGGGCGAAAGCAGCACCCTCACCTGGGAGCGTGGGGCGAAAGCAGCACCCTCACCTGGGAGCGTGGGGCGAAAGCAGCACCCTCACCTGGGAGCGTGGGGCGAAAGCAGCACCCTCACCTGGGAGCGTGGGGCGAAAGCAGCACCCTCCCCTGGGAGCGTGGGGCGAAAGCAGCACCCTCCCCTGGGAGCGTGGGGCGAAAGCAGCACCCTCACCTGGGAGCGTGGGGCGAAAGCAGCACCCTCACCTGGGAGCGTGGGGCGAAAGCAGCACCCTCACCTGGGAGCGTGGGGCGAAAGCAGCACCCTCACCTGGGAGCGTGGGGCGAAAGCAGCACCCTCACCTGGGAGCGTGGGGCGAAAGCAGCACCCTCACCTGGGAGCGTGGGGCGAAAGCAGCACCCTCACCTGGGAGCGTGGGGCGAAAGCAGCACCCTCCCCTGGGAGCGTGGGGCGAAAGCAGCACCCTCACCTGGGAGCGTGGGGCGAAAGCAGCACCCTCACCTGGGAGCGTGGGGCGAAAGCAGCACCCTCACCTGGGAGCGTGGGGCGAAAGCAGCACCCTCACCTGGGAGCGTGGGGCGAAAGCAGCACCCTCACCTGGGAGCGTGGGGCGAAAGCAGCACCCTCCCCTGGGAGCGTGGGGCGAAAGCAGCACCCTCACCTGGGAGCGTGGGGCGAAAGCAGCACCCTCACCTGGGAGCGTGGGGCGAAAGCAGCACCCTCACCTGGGAGCGTGGGGCGAAAGCAGCACCCTCACCTGGGAGCGTGGGGCGAAAGCAGCACCCTCACCTGGGAGCGTGGGGCGAAAGCAGCACCCTCACCTGGGAGCGTGGGGCGAAAGCAGCACCCTCACCTGGGAGCGTGGGGCGAAAGCAGCACCCTCCCCTGGGAGCGTGGGGCGAAAGCAGCACCCTCACCTGGGAGCGTGGGGCGAAAGCAGCACCCTCACCTGGGAGCGTGGGGCGAAAGCAGCACCCTCACCTGGGAGCGTGGGGCGAAAGCAGCACCCTCACCTGGGAGCGTGGGGCGAAAGCAGCACCCTCACCTGGGAGCGTGGGGCGAAAGCAGCACCCTCACCTGGGAGCGTGGGGCGAAAGCAGCACCCTCACCTGGGAGCGTGGGGCGAAAGCAGCACCCTCACCTGGGAGCGTGGGGCGAAAGCAGCACCCTCACCTGGGAGCGTGGGGCGAAAGCAGCACCCTCACCTGGGAGCGTGGGGCGAAAGCAGCACCCTCACCTGGGAGCGTGGGGCGAAAGCAGCACCCTCACCTGGGAGCGTGGGGCGAAAGCAGCACCCTCACCTGGGAGCGTGGGGCGAAAGCAGCACCCTCACCTGGGAGCGCGGGCTGCGGTTGTTGTTGAGGGAGAGCGCCGAGTCCTTGCCGCCAGCCATGGCCTTGTTGTGGCGCAGCTCAAAGCGCAGACACGCGTTCACCCACCGCAGGTACACCACCTCCTCCACCTCGCTGAACCGGCTGTTCTGTAGACCTTCGACCTGGCCAGGATGCATGGATAGGAGTGTGTGCACATGGTACGAATTGACAGGTTGAGACATACGACTGCATTCGCCCATCGCAGGCACATCACCTCCTCCACCTCGCTGAACCGGCTGTTCTGTAGACCTTCCATCAGTGGTGGAGGTGGTTATGCAGTGGTGTGGGTGGGGGTGATGAGACATTAGATGCATGCACATGAGTGCGTTCACCCACCGCAGGTACATCACCTCCTCCACCTCGCTGAACCTACTGTTTTGGGTGGTGTGTGTGGGGCTGTTTTGCAGACCTTCTACCTGTATACCACAGTATGCATATGCTATCCAATAACAGGTTAGAGGCATGCACACAACACGCGTTCACCACCTCCCCACATCGCTGAACCTACTGTTCTGCAGACCTTCGACCTACAGACCACGGTACGCATATGGTATGCAATAACAGGTCAGAGGCATGCACACAACACGCGTTCACCACCTCCCCACATCGCTGAACCTACTGTTCTGCAGACCTTCGACCTACAGACCACAGTACGCATATGGTATGCAATAACAGGTCAGAGGCATGCACACAACACGCGTTCACCACCTCCCCACATCGCTGAACCTACTGTTCTGCAGACCTTCGACCTACAGACCACGGTACGCATATGGTATGCAATAACAGGTTAGAGGCATGCACACAACACGCGTTCACCACCTCCCCACATCGCTGAACCTACTGTTCTGCAGACCTTCGACCTACAGACCACGGTACGCATATGGTATGCAATAACAGGTCAGAGGCATGCACACAACACGCGTTCACCACCTCCCCACATCGCTGAACCTACTGTTCTGCAGACCTTCGACCTACAGACCACGGTACGCATATGGTATGCAATAACAGGTTAGAGGCATGCACACAACACGCGTTCACCACCTCCCCACATCGCTGAACCTACTGTTCTGCAGACCTTCGACCTACAGACCACAGTACGCATATGGTATGCAATAACAGGTCAGAGGCATGCACACAACACGCGTTCACCACCTCCCCACATCGCTGAACCTACTGTTCTGCAGACCTTCGACCTACAGACCACGGTACGCATATGGTATGCAATAACAGGTTAGAGGCATGCACACAACACGCGTTCACCACCTCCCCACATCGCTGAACCTACTGTTCTGCAGACCTTCGACCTACAGACCACGGTACGCATATGGTATGCAATAACAGGTCAGAGGCATGCACACAACACGCGTTCACCACCTCCCCACATCGCTGAACCTACTGTTCTGCAGACCTTCGACCTTCAGACCACGGTACGCATATGGTATGCAATAACAGGTTAGAGGCACGCACACAACACGCGTTCACCACCTCCCCACATCGCTGAACCTACTGTTCTGCAGACCTTCGACCTACAGACCACGGTACGCATATGGTATGCAATAACAGGTTAGAGGCATGCACACAACACGCGTTCAGCACCTCCTCCACCTCGCTGAAGCTACTGTTCTGGGGACCTTCGACCTGGGGACAGAGAATGCACATGGTATGGGTATGAAGTTGGCTGGTTAGAGGCATGCGCACAGCACGCGTTCACACAGCACGCGTTCACACAGCACGCGTTCAGCACCTCCTCCACCTCGCTGAAGCTACTGTTCTGGGGACCTTCCGACCTGGGGTGATGCGGTGAGGGAATGGTGAGACATGGGAGGCAATGGAGAGGGGTAGAATGACGGTCCTATAACTCAATACATTTCTGAGACGTCTCGAAATCCTATGCACTCCCACGAGTAACCAACCCATCCACCTGCATAAGAAGTCAGCTATTTTTTTGTCGCAAAAGAGAGGGAAGGTGTAAAGATATACACCTTTAATCGATAGAGGACGGATCCAGAGGTTCAACCCACACACCTGTCTGAGAAGATCCGCCACTCGCTGCCGCAGCAGCATGGCTTCCATCTGTGCCTTCTTCAGCTGCTGGCTCTGCAGCACAGGAAGACAGGGGAAGGGGTCACAGCACAGGACAACATGGGGTGGGGAGGGGCAGCAACGAATCAGAGAGAGGGTTTTAGCTGCTGCGTGTAGCAACTCACATTTAATAGAGTTCAAACGTCCCATGAAACCAGGGTTACAGGCCACCCATCAGTTACCTCTAGCACTAGGAGGTCCAATGGAGCCCCAGATAGGAGCCATGTCTTTACGTGGCTGCGACTGATTCAACTTGTAAAAAAGTTTGTTAGTTAAAATGTTTGCTTGAAAATCTCTTGTAGAGAAATTTGGCGGTAACCGGTTTCGGCTTATAGCCTTCTTCAGACCATCAGTTACCTCTAGCACTAGGAGGGGGTCCACGTGCGCCTGTTCCACTCACACAAGACAGGCTCACGTAACACACTCCCATCCCATCTCAAAAAGAGAAAAGCCACAGCAGCACAAAACAGCAATAACAAACTCCCGTAGAAGAGGGTCACCTCGGGCGCTATGAGCCTATCCATGTACGCCTGGGCCTCTGCCAGCTGCACGCTCATCTTCCGCCTCTGCAGCTGCACCTCATGGCTGGTCACTCAATGTGTGTATAGGGTTACCACAGGCGACTTTTGAGTCGACTCAAAAGTCACCTCTGCAGCTGCACCTCATGGCTGGTCACTCAATGTGTGTATAGGGTTACCACAGGCGCCACTCCACCCAGTTACCTCGGGCGCTATGAGTCTATCCATGTGCGCCTGGCCCTCTGCAGCTGCACCTCATGGCTGGCCGGTCAATGCGTGTATAGGGTTACCACACCTCCCTGCTTGTTACCTCGGGCGCTATGAGCCTATCCATGTGTGCCTGGGCCTCGGCCAGCTGCACGCTCATCTTCCTCCTCTGCAGCTGCAGCTCGTTGTTCATGCGCCTCGCCTCCACCAGCTCCACCTCCACCTTCTCCTGCACCTGCCAGGGGGGAGGGGAGGATGGGGGGAAGAGGCGGAGGAGGCGGGGGTGAGGGAGCGAGGGAGCAACAAGGGATCGTGAGGTGCCTCAAAACACGCGACGCTGCAGCTGAAGCTCGTTGTTCATGCGCCGCGCCTCCACCAGCTCCACCTCCACCTTCTCCTGCGCCTGGAGGGGAGGAAAGGGGAAGAGTGAATAAGGGTACGGTAGGTTGCCTTGAGAGCCTTCCCTAATGTTAAACGTTCCCCCCACCGAACTGAGGCCCAATACTCAACGTCACCCACCACACCGTAGTCTCACACCCCCCAATTCAATCCCCCTTCCCCACGCCGAACTCCCCTCTCCTGCTCCCAACCTCACCCTCGTGAACCCCATCACCACCCTTCTCTCATCATCCCCCTCACACCTTTTCCTCCCCCCCCCCCCCCCCACCTTGCGCAAGGCCTCCACCTCCTTGTGCTTCGCCAGGGCAAGAGCCTCCCTGTGCATCAGCTGCATACCAGCCGTCTCTGCAATACAATCACCCAGTTCCCCCCCAGCGCCCCCTCCCCACCCACCTTGCGCAAGGCCTCCACCTCCTTGTGCTTCGCCAGGGCAAGAGCCTCTTTGGCGTTCACCTCCTCCTCGCGGGCTTTAAGTGATGCCACCACCTGGGGCAGTGGGGAGGAGAGATGTGAAAGCCAAGGGAGGACTTTAGGGGCTCCACTGTGGTGGCCTGTGAGCCGAGCCTTCTGCAGTAATCTCGGATGTAGAGCCCGAGCCTGAGCCTGAGCCTGAGCCTGAGCCTGAGCCCGAGCCTGAGCCCGAGCCTGAGCCTGAGCCTGAGCCTGAGCCTGAGCCTGAGCCTGAGCCTGAGCCCGAGCCTGAGCCTGAGCCTGAGCCTGAGCCTGAGCCTGAGCCTGAGCCTGAGCCTGAGCCTGAGCCTGAGCCTGGGCCTGGGCCTGAGCCTGAGCCTGAGCCTGAGCCTGAGCCTGAGCCTGAGCCTGAGCCTGAGCCTGAGCCTGAGCCTGAGCCTGAGCCTGAGCCCGAGCCTGAGCCTGAGCCCGAGCCTATCCGCAGCTGCTTCTTTAGTTTGGACAGCAGTAGCACTGGGCATATAACAGCAAATAAGCTGTAGAGCAAAGCAAATCACCAGCACCCATACCTGCTTGAGTGCTGTGATCTCTGAGGAAGAGCCCGAGCCTATCCGCAGCTGCTTCTGCAGCTCCCTCTCTCGCGCCCTCAGCTCGTTCAGCTGTGGCATTTGGGGAGTGAGGCCATGGAAGAGGACGCAGAGAGAGGTGTTGAGGGGAAAAGTAAGGTCTTAAACAGAGTGAGGGATGGACAGCGCAAGTATAATGTTTTGAGTCGACTCAAAACACAATGGAAAGCGCGGGGACAATTGACGAGGCAAGTACGGAATGGAGGGCGAAAGTCAGACTTCTCAATACTCGTGGAAGAGTGGAAGGCACAGGGAGAGACAAGGGAAGCGGAGAACAGACCGAGGCGAAAGAGGAGATGGATCGAGGAGGCAAAAGAGAACAGGCCGAGGCGAAAGCAGAGCAGAAATAGCGGATCAGCAATAAGGGAGCGTCAAAAGAGGAGCGGGAAAAGGGGAGAGGAGAAAGAGGAGTGAACCCCGCTACCCTCTGTGAACATCGAGTCCCCACTGCTGCTTTTGTAACACGCTCTTTGCCATGCCCTTGCCTCACACACCAAACCTCCTCCTCAGTTCCTTGTTTCAACCCACAACAACCGCCAGCCCACCCTCGTTTCCCCTCGTCAGCCCTTTCTCAATCCCTCAACTCCTTCTCATCTCGCCCCTCACCTCTTCTCACTAACCCTCCTCACCTCCTTGTTGATCTTATCCATCTCCTGCACGTCCAGCGCCCACTGCTGCTTCTGAAACACGCTCTCCGCCATGCCCTTCCCTCCAAGCACCCAGAACCCCTTTTCATTCCCTTGTTTCAACTTTCAACCCACAACAACCCCCAGCCCACCCTGCTTTCCCTCCTCACATCCTTCTCACTCCTTTCGAATCCCTTCAACCTCCCTCAGGCACTCACCTCCTTCTTGATCTTATCCATTTCCTGCATGTCCAGCGCCCACTGCTGCTTCTGAAACACGCTCTCCGCCATGCCCTTGCGCAGCCGAACCACCTCCGCCCGCTCCCTCTCCACCTCCCTCCGCTGCCTCTCCACCTCCTCGCCCCCGTACCGCAGCTGCCGCAGCTCCTGGTCAGGCAAGGGGTGACAGACGGGATGGGAACGGCATGGGTGGGCAGGTAACAGAGAACAGAGACGAGGAGGGCACATTCAGGACGAGATGGTCTGAGGCACCACCTCCGCCCGCTCCCTCTCCACCTCCACCTCCCTCCGCTGCCTCTCCACCTCCTCGCCCCCATACCGCAGCTGCCGCAGCTCCTGGTGTGGGGAAGACCGAAAGAGGACGATATGGCAGCAGGGGAAGCGAGAATGAGAGCAGAAAAGAGGCAGGCACGATCAGGCAGAGACAGCTTGAGGCGCCTCTAGAAGCATCCTGAGGTGGCCTTGCAAGGTACCACCTCTGCCCGCTCCCTCTCCGCTGTCCTCTGCTGCCTCTCCACCTCCTCACCCTCATACCGCACCTGCCGCTGCTTCTGGTGTGACCAAAGGGAACAGAGGGTAACGACACACATGGGCACCACGGTTTGACGCAACATGAGATGGGGTGCGTTTAATAGTATTCAGGATTCAGTTGCCTTCAGAAGAACCGAAACGCCTTCATCCTCCTCACAGACGCGGCCATGAGCTGCTCGTGCTGCTGCCTCTTACTCCTGCACCTCCTTCATGTACACATCCTAGTGTATGTTTTTTGAGAATTCTCAAAAAACATACACTCTTACTCCTGCACCTCCTTTTTGTACACATCCTAGTTTTGAGGCGCCTCAAAACTACACATCCTCACACCCTTCACACACATCCCAGTGCCCGCACAAACTCTCACACGCTCGTCACACCCATAGAGACCACCACACAGCACTTGCGCACACCCTAAACCCAACAGTTCGGCCATGAGTTGCTCGTGCTGCTGCCGCATCGCCTCCGCGCTGCACCCTCAACACACACCCCAACACCCTCACACACCTGGAAACCCCTCTACACCTTGCCACACACCCCCCCACCTGCAGTTCCGCCATGAGCTGCTCATGCTGCTGCCGCATCTCCTCCGCGCTGCACTGCAGCTCCCACACCTCCCTTTGATGCTCCTCCGCCCTCACCCGCTGCTGCTCTTCCAGCGCCTCCCGCTCCTGCACCTCCTGCTCTACTCTTGCCTCCACCTCCGCCACCTCCGCCATCACGCGCTCATGCACCTCCCTCTCAACCCTCGCCTTCACCCCCTCTATCTCCCTCGCGTGCGCCTCTTTTAAAGCTTTCTCCTGGGCGGCTAGCAGCTCCCGCACTCGCTCCTCCTCCCGCGCTCGCTCCTCCCGCGCGCGCTCCTTTCTCACCCGCTCGTCCAGGTCACCAAGCCCGTTGGGTAGAGCAGCAACGGCTGACGGACCAAAGCTTAAGGCGGAAGGGGAGTCGCCAGGAAGCACGTTCCGGACAGCAGCTTTCCGGCCGTCCAGAGCGAGTTTCGACTCAAAGTCAGACCACACGTCCGGCACGTCCTTGTCTGAAAAGAACTCGTCTCCCGATGCAGCACCAGCACCCTGCTCGTCTCCCCCCCACCCAGCCCCCTGCTCGTCTCCCGCCCCAATGCCCTCGTGTCCCCACCCAGCGCCCTGCACGTTTCCAGCCACACCGCCCCCAGTGTCTCCTGTAAGTGCATCCCTAGCCGTCCCTCCAAAGCCACCACCTTCCGCACTACCTCTGTCACCCCCACCACCGGCACCAGTAGTACCAGTGCCCGCAATACCCCCAGTGCCCAAGGGTATGCTTGCGTTATCCCCATCCCCTCCTGCTGATGCTATCGCTGCTACTAACTTTCCATCTGCCAACATCTCAATTCCATCTTCCCCGTCTTCCCCTTCCTCTTGCCCCTGCTTGTCCTTACCCTTTCCCTTCGCCTTCCCTTTCCCCTTACCCTTCCCCTTCTCCTTACCTTCCTTCTCCTTCTCCTTTTCCTCCTTATCCTTCTTCTTCTTCCTCTTCTCCTTCCGGTCATTCTTCCTGTCCTTCCTTCCCCTCTCGCCCTCCTCCTCCTCCCCTCTTCCTTCACTTGTTACTACATCCCCAGAGGCCCCGTCATAGTCCCTTCCATCTACAGTCACATCTGGGACACCAGCAGCACCACCACCACCAGCAGCAACGCCTCCAGACGCCCGAACACGTCCCTCCTTGTGCTTGCTTCCTGACCTTCCTCCTCCCCTTCCCCCTCCTGCTCCCGCCTCTCCTCCTCCTGCTCCTCCCCCCGTTTGAGTCACCCCCGTGATCCCATGCCCTTCCCCGCCTCCCTGACCAAACGTCGCGCCAACTCTCCCGTGTGACAGTAACGAGCGGTCCCTCTCCTCCCCCACGCTCTCCACGTCATTCAGCTCCGGCACTGGCCGCCCCCCCTGCTGCCCTTGCGCCTCTACCTGGCACACGCAGCACGGGGGGAAGACACGGACGGAGGTAAGACACGGACGAGGGAGAATGTAGAGAGAGGAGGAGGAGGCGGGGGGGAGTGGGGGAAGAGAGGGAGGAGGAGAAGAGGGAGGAAGAGGAAGGGAGGAATTGCGTGGGGTGTTTGGCAGCACATGGGTGAGACGGGCGCAATGAACGGAATAGGCACAATGCAGTCGAGCAAGTCACGGGCGTGCCCTCGTTTTACTCACATCTTGTTCACGCTGCGACCTTTGCTGCCGCCTCCGCCGCCGCCGTCGTTCCTCCTCCTGCCCTGAAACCGAGATCATAGGCGAAAACGAGAGGAAGTCCGAATCAAAACTTGCTCTTCTGGGTCGGCGATTCAGGAATGGAGCAGCAAACCACTGATCTCGGGGATTTTATAACCTGTAACTGTGCATGTCGTGCATGGATTGCCAGACCAGCTGAACACCCCAGAACATAACTCCAGAGCGCACGAGAGTGCGAGCCTAGGTCGATTGACTCGCAATCGAAATGCGCACAAATTATACTCCCAGGTCAACTGGGATTCCAATGTAGGTGGACGATCGGCTGTCGTAGCTTCACTCGCTGACACGCGGAATGGTAACCAGATACGATAACCAGACAGACACGCTACTCAGATACCGTAGCCAGACACGACAACAGGCATGTAACCACATGAAACCAGACACGACAACAGGCATGTAACCACATGAAACCAGACACGACAACAGGCACGGTAACCAAACCGGTGGCCAGATGCAGTATCCAAGGACATCAACTGGTACAGTAACCATATACGACAGCTAGACATGGCAACAGGCACGTTAATCGGTTAGGATAACTGGCAACAGCAACAAGAACGGTAACCAGACACAGTGAACAGGTACGGTAACCATGTATGGTAACCAGATACGGAAGCCAGACACCTGGGTGCCCGTGCGCGACGCGGTTGATCTTCCCAAGAACTCGCGTATCTTACTCTGGTTGTGGCCGGCACTTCCAAGAACTTGCTTCGCAACGACGGCGGCTGCCACTGCTGCTACAACGAACTTGAGAGCTCCGTCCATCGCGGATGGCTTTCGCCTATCTATCTGTCATTGCGAATGTGACAGGAGGAGGCTTTTGGCAGGAGGCTTGTACAAAGAGTAGACTCAAAAGGCGGGAGGAGGAGGAGCCATGATCGGGAATGGGGACAGCTGGTGCGATGATGCACAGCTGTTATGTGGCATTAGACTCTGCAGCAGAGAGCTACGTGGCGTTGAAACGGAGGGCCAGCGGAAGCAGCATCATCTGGCACTCGCAGGGCGACTTGACGTAAGCTGAAGTGAAATTCAACAACGAATGTCCGCGTTGGATGCGTAACCTACACCTGCAGCACACGACACGGAGGTGTGTCGGATTCTTGAAAAAACGTAGTCTTTCGTACTAAGAGCCACAGCCAAGCTAGCTGCACAGCAGACCAAGTTGCTGCTCATCAGATCAAGCGACTTGCACGAGCACTGCCAGGCTCCATGAAACCAACAAGCTGCTATCAGATGTGTTGTTTTCTCAGTACAGACATGACGTTGTCGGAGTAGCATGGAACTCTACTCAACCATTCTAGAATAGTAAAGAACCGTTCTGGAACGCAAAATATCTCACCAAGTCGCACGGCTCCCTGGCTGTGACCCAAGCCACGCACGCAGGAAGGATTTCAAACCAGGTTCAGCCAGACCAGGGCAGCGTTGTGCTGGCTTGGGCGAGCTCGTGGTGTCTCACCCGCTGATCAAGCGACGCGACTCAACCAAGCCAGTTCTGTCACACCGAACCTTCTTTCCGAACCCGTTTTGGCCTTGTATGGCGGGAACATCAGGTTGAGAAGGCTTGGGCCAATCAACGCAACCCAAGAGATTGTCAGAATGCCAAGCCGCATCCATTTCTAAACATTTGCTTTTGTGAGCTGACCGGCCTAAGTTCCAGGTTTTTGTAGATTACGGATTTCGGAATCACCTCTAAGTCCTCTCCTTGCAACACCACAAAGAACCAAGGCTGACCGGTCAGAAAATATCACTCAGCATCCCTGCTGGTGCACATCCACGTCAGCAGCACAGCTTCGTGACAACGAGCATCACACATTGCACGAGCAACGCTTCTTACACATTAATGACATACTCGTTATCACACGAGATCAAGAACCTAACCACTAGCTAATACATACTAAAAGCAGTGAGTGCTGTACTATATGAGAAGAAAAAAAAAACCACAATACAGAGAATAAGTCAGTTGCGATAGCGGGGAAAAAATACGCTGGTTCCCCTGAATCACGACTAATCTGCAATGTCATCTTGAAGTTCCTCATTCAATGTCTCATCCTGTGATGCAAAAAAATAAACAGTCATTCCTGAATGCGTCGAATGAAAGCAGCGAGTAAAACTAGCTAGTGACTATTTTAGTAAATGATTCTCTTTCCTCTCACCTCTTCAGTTTTCTTGGACACAAGTCGCTTTTTCTTTGCAGGCTTTGGTGCCTCGTCTTGCTTCTCATCGTCATCCTCAGTGTCCCCAACACCCTCCACCCTGGATTGCTGCAAAAGAAATGGATGACACGACTTTGTTTATGCATTAATTCAAGAACACAATCCAGGTTACATGTTGACTTTGCATATTGCCTTACCATGTTGTATTCTTCTAATTGCGCCTCATATGCTTTCTTGCGCTCTGAGGCTCCCTTATTGTACACCTCTTTTTCCTGCAAATTCAGGGAAGAATCATCAGGGACACTCAAGGCAACAGCAGGTGAGCGTGCATTCGGATGGGCAGACATAAGTTGAACTTCAAGCTAACAGAAGTTAGGGAGCATAAGCGTTAGATCGCACCTCTTCCGTCAAGCTCTTCCATTTGAGACCAGCCGCTTTGCTCATCTGCATGTTTCGCACAACAAATTTGCATAAGAGGCGAAAAACATCACAATGGAAGGAACCAAACAATGACAAAATCCCGTGACTATGGCTGCTGGGGGAGAGAAACGCACCTCTGTGACGCCCTTCGATTCGGGATGTTCCTCCTTGTATTGCTTCCGAAAATCTTCTCTGCAAATCACAGAACAACACGCTCCAAGACCGCGTCAACCCTTAAATCCCGCAACCGAAGCGCCTAGAGTGGTGAAGCCTCAGGCCCAGTCGAACCACGATCCATGGAATGGTGCACGAAAGCACGCCTATGAGGAGTATTGGAAACAGGAGAAAATGGCGGGACGTACAAGAACAGGAAGTAGGGGGTTGTTGGTTTCTTGGGAGCGTTGGAGTCTTTTTCGGCTTTCCGCTTCTGCTGCTTCTCCTCCTTGGCGGGCTTGGTCTTCTGCTGCTTCTCCTCAGCTTTCTGCTTCCTGTAAAAAAAGAACCGTAAATTGATTGAGGCCGGAGACACTTGGAACAGAGCCGCAGTGATGTTCAAACCGACACGCCGTAATCAGCAAGAAAACATGTTGAAACTGATGAGTTGAAACGTACTTCGCAGCGGCTTCCTCTGCCATCCGCTCTCGAAATTCCAGGCGCAAACGCTCTGCCATGCATTTGGTAAGAAAGACACGACGGTTAAAGTCATCCATGCGAGAGCATTAGCGTGACTGACCAAAATGATTATGAAAGAACACCAACAATTGAAAGAGGCGAGTTCTGAGAAAACTCTTCTGTCATTTGCATCTGAACACGCCACGTGACTTTTCAAATCGATCCTTTGAGAAACCTTTACTCCAAGGAGTTTGATACCGATTGGGGAAGGAGATTGGCATTGAGGTCGGGCGGCTTGTAACGCAGCGTCGTTCTCGCACGAGTGCATGCCCGCCATCTTGTGAGGCGCGTCAAGAAGTAGTATGAATCGAGCCCACGCGAGACCACTCACCGAGGGTGTCTTTGAAAGCGGCGTCGTTCTCGCACGAGTGCATGTCCGCCGTGGCAACCGGCACCTTGGAGTTGCACGCTTCACTGCCAGACACACGAATTTCCAAACGAATTACCGACAAAAAACGGGTTCTTTAATGTTATGAATATTAACGACGGGAGAAACGGATGCTGTTGCGTGTGTAGAATAGTGTTACATTTCGGCGGATCATAACTCCGTTACAATATCAGTCTTTACCAAGTGAGAAAGGCACTGCCATCAGGAGCTCGACGCATGACTGTCGGCTCCGCGCTCTTCACGCGCTTCTTAGCTCCTGGTCTTGCCATGGCGCCTCTAGCTTGAGATTACTGAAGACACTCGTCAATGTGCTGAGAAACTGAACGGTTAGCACCTATTTAACAACAATGGAGATGCGAGTATCGCTTCAACGTCAAACGTCGCGAACCTAGCAGAACGAAAGCAGGGGACGAGGTGATAGAAGGAGAACGAGGTGATTGGGGGTGGAGCTTCACGGGAATGTTATGGACTTGGGGAGAAGGGGGACTGAAGTAGCCAACTGTTGAGAAACTTTTCACATGCAGCACCATCAATGGCATGCAGAGAGAGTTTGTTGAGGGGGGGTTGCGGCCTGCGTGTCTTTCCTAAAATTTGAGCTCTCACCCTGACATCCTAAGTTTCTTTGAGAATATTCGAACTTACGTAAGCCTTGCGAGATTCTGTACTGAAGGGAGGACGACTGTCGTAGAATCCTGTGTTTTTTCTGAGACTCAACGGCAATATGTACACTTAAAAACAGCGAGAGTACCCATTGGATGCACCTAGAAGCATCGTACGATTTAGGGTAGCTGTACCGAATAAAGTGGCTGCTTGCGCTTCGCGATTCAGCAGCAGGCAGCATTTGGAATTTGAATTCGAATGTTCAAGTTCGCATTCGAAATCGGAGATGGCAGCACTACGTACGCTCTACAGGCCTCAGAATGATATTTGAGAAGTACACGGTGGTATACGAGAAGTGCGTGTAGGCAAAGGTGGAGTACACGAAAATTTGGTACACAAATACTAATCCAGCTCAAAATCTTCATTAATTTGGCTTCCTATTAGGCCAAATACATGAGGTACATAATCAATTCTATAGCAAGCTATTGTTGGTCCATATCTAGCATAAGCTTGTCCATCTCCCCTGCACTGCCAATTCCTGCTGAAACAGCAGGACTACTTCCAGTGCTGCCCCCTTGCCCCATCCCTTGCAAGGGAACCATTTCAGAAACCCTACCTCCAGATAATGGAGACCCCTTTATTGTCACACTGCCGAGGGTCGGTGTTCCTACACCTTCCTTTCTTAGGTCCGGCGAACCTCCCGCCGAAGGTGGAGGCGGGAGTGGCGGTGGTGTGGCAGTTGGCATCAGCTTCGGCGTGCCCAGGTTCGGATTCCGCGACGTGATTGGCGTAGGATCGTCACCATCGCCAGGCTCGGCCGAAGCTCCATACTGCTTCATCCCACCTCTAGAAGGTGGCGAAACCATCCCCATTTTCTCCATCGCTTCCCGTAGAATCCCCACCTCCGCCTGCTGCCCCTGCTGCTCCCGCTCCCGCTCCTCCCGCTCCCACTCCTGCTGCTGTTTCAACTGCTGGTGGTGGTGAGGCTGCTGCTCCAACTCTTCTTCCATCTCCACAAAGCCTCCCCCCGGAGCACTCGAAGATGAGAGAGTGAAGCCCAGCGGAGCCGACGTGGGATCATTCGCTTCCGTCGAATCAACCGCTGACGACATATCGGCCGCTGCAGAAAACGCTGCAGCTAACCTCGCAGCCAAAGACGCGCCGCCAGACAACGCCACACCCACCGTGCCCCCCACCCCCCCAGCAGCCCCACTGTCTTTCCCTCCACTCCCCAGTTTCCCGTCAGCATTCTCTGTCGAAATAAGCTGCGCTTCTGAGAGAAAAGAATCAGCAGAGTCAACAGCAGCACCCTGAGAGGCCATCCCTGTGGACCCAGCAGGGCGGTCGGAGGTGGAGAGGGCCTCCAGGTCTGTGAAGTGGTGCGGCTGGCTGCTGCCACTGGCCGAGCGCCGACACGACTCCATCTCCCTCCCTGCGATCAGAGGTATCGGGAGGGGTGGTAAGGATACGGAAACACACCTGAGGGAACAAATTTCCACTTGAACGAACAGAAACACACCTGAGGACACAGAAACACACCCGAGGACACAGAAACACACCAGAGGACACAGAAACACACCCGAGGACACAGAAACACACCTGAGAGGACACAGAAACACACGTGAGAGGACACGAAAACACACCTGAGAGGACACAGAAACACACCTGAGAGGACACAGAAACACACCTGAGGGCACGAAGGTGCGTGTGCGGTAGTGGTGGGTCTCCCCCGTGCCATCGCTGTAGAGCACATAGTCATGGTAGGTGGGGGCGAACTGCATGGGAATGGGGATGGGGAGAAGGGTAGGAATGATGTATGAATCACCAACCCAGGTGCGTGTGCGGTAGTGGTGGGTCTCCCCCGTGCCGTCGCTGTAGAGCACATCGTCATGGTAGGTGGGGGAGAACTGCAGGGGAATAGGGGCGGAGACAAGGGTAGGGATGATGCAGGGATCACCAAGCCAGGTGTGTCTCCCTCCCCCCCTCTCCCCCGTGCCGTCGCTGTAGAGCACATCGTCATGGTAGGTGGGGGAGAACTGCAGGGGAATAGGGGCGGAGACAAGGGTAGGGATGATGCAGGGATCACCAAGCCAGGTGTGTCTCCCTCCCCCCCTCTCCCCCGTGCCGTCGCTGTAGAGCACATAGTCATGGTAGGTGGGGGCGAACTGCAGGGGAATAGGGGCGGAGACAAGGGTAGGGATGATGCAGGGATCACCAAGCCAGGTGTGTCTCCCTCCCCCCCTCTCCCCCGTGCCGTCTCTGTAGAGCACATAGTCATGGTAGGTGGGGGCGAACTGCAGGGGAATAGGGATGGGGAGAAAGAGAAGGGTAGGGATGATGTACGGATCACCAACCCAGGTGCGCGTGCGGTAATGGTGGGTCTCCCCTGTGCCGTCGCTGTAGAGCACATAGTCATGGTAGGTGGGGGCGAACTGCAAGGGGGACAGGCAAGTGTGAAAAGGGACTAGAGCAAGGGGGAATAAAGGGGGAATAAAGGGGGAATAAAGGGGGAATAAAGGGGGAATAAAGGGGGAATAAAGGGGGAATAAAGGGGGAATAAAGGGGGAATAAAGGGGGAATAAAGGGGGAATAAAGGGGGAATAAAGGGGGAATAAAGGGGGAATAAAGGGGGAATAAAGGGGGAATAAAGGGGGAATAAAGGGGGAATAAAGGGGGAATAAAGGGGGAATAAAGGGGGAATAAAGGGGGAATAAAGGGGGAATAAAGGGGGAAACTCAGCCAGCTATGTGTTTCTCTCCCGCGCCGTCCCTGTAAAGCATGTAGTCGTGGTAGGTGGGGGCGAACTGCGGGTGGGGAGATAAAGGTGGGAGGGAATGACGTACGGACCATCAACCCAGGCGTCTCTCTCTATCCCCCTCTCCCCTGTACCATCGCTGTAGAGCACATAGCCGTGGTAAGTGGGGGCGAACTGTGCGGGGAGGTGGGAAGAGAAGATGCGAGGGAGGGAGAAAGGTGAGTGAGAATGACCAATCTACTCATGTCAACGTCATCTCTTTCCCTCTTTCCCTCGCCTAGTGAACGGTGCTTTCTCACTAACCAAGTGATCAATGCCACTTTGTGGTTTTTGAGAATTCTCAAAAACCATCTCTCCCTCTCTCCCTCTCTCCCTCTCTCCCTCTTTCCCTCTTTCCCTCTTTCCCTCTTTCCCTCGCCTGGTGAACAGTGCTTTCTCACTAACCAAGTGAACAATGCCACTTTGAAACAGTGTCACTGACAACGATGTCTGGGAGGTTGATGGCATGATTGACGGATCTCAGAAGCAACTGGTAACCAGGTAACATGACACATAACTGACTCACCTGGTGAACACAGTTACCGGGTAACCAGCTCACCTGGTGAACAGTGTCGCTGACAACGTCTGTGAGGTTGATGGCATGTTTAAAGGATCGCAGCAGTCCCCACCTGCTCTCTGTTCATGGCCATTACATGGTCACCACCAGCTCACCTAGTGAGCAATGCTTTCTCACCTGGTGAACAGTGTCGCTGACAACGTCTGTGAGGTTGATGGCATGCTTAATAGACCTCAGCAGCCCCGCCTGCTCGCCATTCATGTCATGGCCAGATTGGCCTGCAGAAACGGCTTGAAGGGGAAGGCGTGCATGAAGCCTCCCTGGTATCCAGCCCACCCGGTAACCAGCCCAATGGTAACCAGCCTACCTGGTAACCAGCCCACCTGGTAACCAGCCTACCTGGTAACCAGCCCACCTGGTAACCAGCCCACCTGGTAACCAGCCCACCTGGTAACCAGCTCACCTGGTGAACAGTGTCGCTGACAACGTCTGTGAGGTTGATGGCATGTTTAATCGACCTCAGCAGCCCCGCCTGTTCCCCATTCATGGCCACATTGGCCTGCAGAAACGGCTTGAAGGGGAAGGCGTGCATGAAGCCCAGCGCGCCCAGCACCATCTCCGCACAGATGAGCACGTTCTGCAGGTCTGCCGCGTCCTCTGCACTGCGTACATATCCTAGTTGCGCCACTATAAACACCAGCACTCCCTGAGGGAGTGAGAGAAAGGGGGAGGGATGAACGGAGTGAAGTGGAAGGAGAGGTATGAGGGGGACGGCTTGAAGGGGAGGACGTGCATGAATGAAGCCCAGCGCCCCCAGCACCATCTCCGCACAGATGAGCACGTTCTGTAGGTCGGCCGCGTCCTCTGCACTGCTGACGTAGCCCATCTGCGCCACTATGAACACCAGCATGGAAGGGAATGGAGGCACAGGGAGAGAGGGGAGGGGAAGGAGGTGTGAGCGTTGGGTCGCAGTGTTGTCTCCCTCAAGAGGGACAGACAGAGGGTGGGGGAGGGAGGGATGCAAGGAAAGCAGGGCAGGGAGTGGCTTGAAGGGGAAGGCGTGCATGAATGAAGCCCAGCGCGCCCAGCACCATCTCCGCGCACATCAACACGTTCTGTAGATCTGCTGCATCCTCTGCACCGCTCACATAGCCCAGCTAAGCCACTATAAAGACCAGCACGCCCTGAAAGAAGCGAGAGAGGGATAGGGAAGGGGGAGGTGGGATGGGGAGAGAGGGGAGGGAGAGAGGGATGGGAGTTTTAGGATAGGGAGCAAGGGAAGCGAGGAAGGGAGGGCTTGAAGGGGAGGGCGTGCATGAATGAAGCCCAGCGCGCCCAGCACCATCTCCGCACATATTAACACGTTCTGGAGGACGGCCGCGTCCTCCGCGCTGCTGACGTAGCCCATCTGCGCCACTATGCACACCAGCACTCCCTGGGGAAGTGAAGGGAAAGGGCGAGAGAGAGGGGATGAGAGGGGCACACGCAGATGAGCACATTCTGGAGGTCGGCCGCGTCCTCCGCGCCCTCCGCGCTGCTCACGTAGCCCATCTGCGCCACTATGAAGACCAACACGCCCTGATAGAGTGAGGGGAGGGAGAGAGGAAGGGGAGGGAGAGAGGACGGGGAGCGAGAGAGGGGAGGAAGCTTTAGAGAGTTTGCCCCATTGCTGCCCCTGCTACCCACTGCAACCACCAGCACCCGACCCATCCTCACCCATTGCTGCCCCTGCTACCCACTGCAACCACCAGCACCCAACCCATCCTCACCCATTGCTGCCCCTGCTACCCACTGCAACCACCAGCACCCGACCCATCCTCACCCATTGCTGCCCCTGCTACCCACTGCAACCACCAGCACCCGACCCATCCTCACCTACCAGTAGGTCAGGAAGACCACCGCTTTGATCATCAGGAACTTGGGCACGGGGCTGAAGGAGCGAAGCAGCACACTGACTGCTACCGACTGCCACCTGCTTCTACCACCAGCAACCACACTGAACCCATTCTCACCTGCCAGTAGGTCAGGAACACCACGGCCTTGATCATCAGGAACTTGGGCACCGGGTTGAAGGAGCGAAGGAGCTCCCGGCACGCGACGTAGAAGAGAATAAGCGCATAGATGGCAACCGAATAGGAGGCCATGAAGATGCATGTGATGTAGATGTAGCCGTCTGAGAGGGCGCAGATGACCGCTGAGTCTGCTCTTGCTACCTACTGCTACCGCACTGCTACCTACTGCTACCGCACTGCTACCTACTGCTACCGCACTGCTACCTACTGCTACCTACTGCTACCGCACTGCTACCTACCACCAGCAACCACACCGGACCCATTCTCACCTGCCAGTAGGTGAGGAACACCACAGCCTACGGGATTAAAAGAGCGCAGCAGCTCACTGACTGCTACCGACTGCCACCTGCTTCTACCACCAGCAACCACACTGAACCCATCCTCACCTGCCAGTAGGTCAGGAACACCACAGCCTTGATCATCAGGAACTTGGGCACGGGGTTGAAAGAGCGAAGCAGCTCCCGGCACGCGACGTAGAAGAGAATGAGGGCGTAAATCGCCACAGAATAAGATGCCATGTAGATGCATGTGATGTAGATGTAGCCGTCTGAGAGGGCGAAGTTGCCGTCCTCGTAGAGGCCGTAGTAGTAGAGGCACAGGCAGGTGGCCGCCAGGATGGGCTTTAAGTACACGAACTGCAGACAGCCCTGCTTGCACCTCCGGATGAAGCGGCTGTCATTGAAAGGTGGGTTGGGGAGGGGGAGAGAGGGGGGAGAGCGGGGAGAGGGGAGGGGTAGATGACAAGGAAGGCGAGAGGCTTCAAGTAGACGAACTGCAGACAGCCCTGCTTGCACCTTCGGATGAAGCGGCTGTTTGAGGGATGGGGAGAGGGTGGGGGTGGGGGGTGGGGAGTTGGAAGGAGGAATATGAGAGGGACAACAAGGCTGGGCTTGAAGTACACAAACTGCAACTTTTGAGGCGCCTCTAGAGATGCATGCGATGCATGCGATGCACGTAACGCATGTGATGCATGTGATATATAGATGTAGCTGTCTGTGAGTGCAAAGCTGTCATGCTCCTACATCTGCCATGCTCCTACATCTGCCATGCTCCTACATCTGCCATGCTCCTACATCTGCCATGCTCCTACATCTGCCATGCTCCTACATCTGCCATGCTCCTACATCTGCCATGCTCCTACATCTGCCATGCTCCTACATCATCTGCCTGCGAGGCTGGTTAGTACTGATCTGCTCTGCTCTGCCCCACCAGTCTCCATACTCATCACAACTCATTACCACTCATGAGCAGGTACGACGGCTTGAGCAGGCACGACGGCTTGAGCAGGTAGGACGGCTTGAGCAGTCGCCCTGTGAGACTCATCACCACACAACACACTCCCTTGTTACGGACCTGCCTCTCTCCAGTGCTCACCCTCTCATCAGCACTCACCCATCCAAGGGAATGGGCGGGAAGCAGCAGGTCAAGAGCAGGTAGGACGGCTTGAGCAGTCGCTCTGTGAGGTGACTTTTGGGTCGACTCAAAAGTCACCTCGTAGGACGGCTTGAGCAGTCGCTCCGTGAGACTCGTCAGTACTGCTGTGCGACTTTAACACCCCCCCCCATTCTTGGAACTTTGCAGCTCATCTGTCACAGTACTCATCATTACGCATCAGCACTCACCCGTCAAGGGGGATGGGCGGGAAGCAGCAGGTCATGAGCAGGTAGGAGGGTTTCAGCAGCCGCCCTGTTAGACTCGTCACCACGGCGCCTGGCCCGCCCACCCAGGAGAGGCAGAGCGAGAGGAAGTTGTAAATCACCCACGCCTCGTAGCTGTTTGGGGGAAACGGGGGGGAAACGGGGAGAGAGAGACGGGCGGGAGCGAACACCACAGAGCTTAGTCCCCCTACCCAGGAGAGGCAGAGCGAGAGGAAGTTGTGAATCACCCACGCCTCGTAGCTGTTGAAAAGGAGAGGGGGAGGAGGGGAGGGGAGGGAGAGTAGAGGGGGAGGGAGCGTGGGGAAGAGGCAGAGGGTGGGGAGATAGGTGGATAAAGGCCGTGACGTCACCTGGTTCGCCCACTCATGAGGGGCACAGCGAGATGAACCTGTGGATCACCCTCGCCTCGTAGCTGTTGAGAGTTTAGCCGGGGGAAACCTGAAAAAGAGGAGCTTAGACGGAGAGAAGGGGAAACCTGAAAAAGAGGAGCTTAGACGGAGAGAAGGGGAGAGTGGCAGAGGGAGAACGAGGTTAGACCGGGTCGGGGGAACGGGTAGGAGAGAGGGGGAGAGAGGTCAGGCGGGAAATAAGGATCCATCGTCGCCGAGGCGCCTGTCCCCCACACGGAGAAGACATTTGAGTTGACTCAAAAGTCGCAGGGGTAAGGGAGAGGGAGAGAGTGGTCCGGCGGGTTTTCAGGATCCATCGTCGCCGGGGCGCCTGTCCCCCTCCACGCAGGAGAGGCTGGAGAGGGTTCTGCGGAAGCCGCAACTCGGGTTGCGGTTTCCGCATTGTGTTGCCAAGGTTCCACGCGATTATCACCGCATCACGATACATAGAGCACGCGCAGTCCACGCAAAGACCCCCAATCACACAACATTAACAACACACGAGCACCATACTCACACGTCGCGTATCGTGTTGAAGTACATGGCGTAGTCGCTCATAACGAGAGCGCCGAATGACATTGTCGCGTACACCTGGCGCAAGGCAAAACAAACAATCCAGATATCAGCCTAAACGTCTGGCAATTCCCGAATGTCCAGAGATTCGAAATATCCGGGGTAGTTAAATATTGCTAGGATGAAAACCCCGGGGAGGTCAACGGGGGTTAGCTTATATGTCAATGAGATGACCTGGACACGTTCAGTTCGGACCAACCAAAGCGCGAGCGTACGTACGGGGACCATGAAGATGATCCGGACGATGTAACGCTGGTACGTGGGCTCGGTGTAGTTACGGAGGTGCATGACGATGTGGCGTACGGAGAGAAACACGGCGAACACCGTGCATACTAGCGACACCACCACCGCGGGGGTGCCAGAAAACGCGTGCTCCGGAGGCGGCGACGGCACCCACGCGCTAAAGTCGATTCCGAACATCGTGGAGCGTGAAGATTAGAGTGACGTAAGTGACGTGGTTTTTGTGGCTGGATTAGGGACAACGGGACAAGGGATCACGAGTCCATTTGAGTTTATGCCGTCCGGCACTAGATTCGACGTGGTTAGGTGATAAATGCCCTCGTTTAGGAACTAGGTCCGGTGGTACGTAGATTGGATTACAACGTAACTTCAACCACGGAGCAATGGCTGCGGAACGTTGTCAACCCATTCCGAGCGGGCCGCGCAATTAGCAGCTTATAGCAGAAACGATCGGCGGTGTGACAGCCCTAGCTTCGGAAACGCGGTCTGAAAGAGTAGGCCAGACCAATCTAGAGGGCAGGATACAAAAACCGCGGCACTAAACGAACGGCAAGAGAAGAGCGGCAAGATACAAAACGAACTACCGTTAGAGGAGAGCGTTGCAGCGACTGCCAAAGATCGGAAACCAACGACAAAAATCTCCTAAGAACTGTACTGTAATCTAGGAACCAGTAGCACTAGCGACGGGCTACGACTGGGATCCACCAAAAATGGCGGGCTGGGGCGGGGAGGGGAGAAAGTTGGGGAGGAGGCTCTGATGCTTTCGCGACGTCCGGTTACCGCATGGAAAATGCGTCGTCTCGCTCTAGCGAAATCCAGTTCCGAAATCTCATCTCAAGGTGAACGGCTGTGAGGTGCCAGAGTTTTGGCGGGAAAATACCACGTGGGTACCGCTTTGTGACAGAAGCGAGTGCGTCAGTAAGACATCACAAAAACATTTCAACAGAAAAGCGACACGTAGGCGTGCTTCCAGTATGTTCATATAGAAATTCACACAAACCAACATGCAATTAGTCTTTCCGAACAAAATGACGGACCAGCTTTTGTCGAGGTTTATGAGCCTAGGGCGTGGAACTCGGGTCAGGCTCGAACTTGATCTGAAACCCACAACACTACCATGTGTGTCGAGAAAATACTCTTTGCCTGTGACGATGTCCGCAGTAGCATCCAGCTGTGTTTTCTGTCAAGGTACACTTCACGGTACACGCCCTTCACGAAACTGAGGTCAACTGCGCAATAGTTGTGTTTTCCCCGTGATCATGCTTCGGCAGCATTACTAATAGAAGGCATTGTGATCGATTTAGCATTCTACGTCAGGTCGAGCCTGAAACAATCTGAGGTCCCTGGGTCGGATCGGATCGGTACCCGGCCAGTTGATAACCACGAATCGGGTCTCGCATTGCATTGAAAGACTTGTTTTTCGTCTGCTGGTTCTGGGTCGCAATGGTGGAGCAAGCGACGGTTGCCCGTCGCATCACGCACGTCATTTTCGACATGGACGGCCTCATTCTCGGTGCGTTGAATCGTGTTGGTGTGTTGACGCGTAGCAGCGGATCATAACGGTTCCCAACGGCTCATACAGGCTCATACCATGAGCCTCGAGTCGCATCACACACGTCATCTTCCATATGGACGGCCTCATTCTCGGTGCGTTAAAGCCCAGCCCGTAACGGCTCATAGCATGGGCCTCGAGGCAGCTTACAACGGGGTTACATGGACTCCTCTTTCTCGGCTCTGAGGAATCCTGTCCCCTGGCCCCACAATCTCGTCTTCCAGACACGGAGGGTCTGTTGACTTTTGAGTCGACTGAAAAGTCAACTCATTTTGAGTCGACTCAAAAGTCAACTCGGCTCTGAGGATTCCTGTCCCCTGTCCCCACAATCTCGTCTTCCAGACACCGAGGGTTTGTACGCGGCATCCCAGCAGCGCAATTGCCCTTCTTGTTCCCCCTCTCCCCCCCTCTCCCCCCATCACTCCCCTTCTCCCCCACCACCCCCTCCCCTCTTCCGCCAGACACCGAGGGTCTGTACACGGTGGCTCAGCAGCGCATTCTGTCGCGATTCAACCGCGAGTTCACGTGGGCGCTCAAGGTCAAGATGATGGGCAAGACGGCCGCAGAGGCGCCTCCTATCCCCCCTTGATCCAACCACGCTGCCAAACTCGCTCTCCTCTACTCCCCCTTGGCCCCCCTCTCCCCCCTCTCCCCCTGCCCCACTGCCCCCCTGCCCCCTTCCCCTTCTCCCTGTCCCCCTGTCTCCCTGTCCCCCTATCTCTTCCGCCAGACACCGAGGGTCTGTACACGGTGGCTCAGCAGCGCATTCTGTCGCGATTCAAGCGCGAGTTCACGTGGGCGCTCAAGGTCAAGATGATGGGCAAGAAGGCCGCAGAGGCAGCAAAGGTGGTGATAGAGGAGCTGGGGCTGCAGGGGGAGATTAGCGCGGAGGAGTTTCTAAAGGAGAGAGAGGCGCTGCTGAGGGAGGAGTTCCCACACTGCAAGCTATTACCAGGTGCGGAGAGTGGTTGAGAGCGGCTGAGCGGATTTGGAGCGGTTGAGAGTGGCAGAGGCGGCACAGGTGGTGATAGAGGAGCTGGGGTTGCAGGGGGAGATGAGCGCGGAGGAGTTTCTGAGGGAGAGAGAGAATCTTCTGAGGGAGGAGTTCCCCCACTGCAAGTTGTTACCAGGTAAGGGAGTACGGTTTAAAGCGGTTTGCAGCGGTTGAGAGCAGTTAGGTGGCGTGTGGTGATACAGGAGCTGGGGCTGTAGGGGGAGATTAGCGCGGAGGAGTTTCTGAGGGAGAGGGAGAATCTATTGAGGGAGGAGTTCCCCCACTGCAAGCTGCTGCCAGGTAGGCAGTGCGGTTGAGAGTGGTTGAGCCCGGTTGCGTGCTGTGGAGACCGGTTGAAAGTGATGGAGGCAGCGCAGGTGGTGATAGAGGAGCTGGGGCTGCAGGAGGGGGTGAGCGCAGAGGAGTTTCTGAGGGAGAGGGAGACGCTGCTGAGGGAAGAGTTTCCCCACTGCAAGCTGCTTCCAGGTAGGGGGAAGCGGTTGAGAGCAGTCAAAAGTGGTTGAGAGTGGTGAACGTGACAGAGGCGGCTCACGAGGTGATTGACAAGCAGGGTCTGCATGGGGAGATGAGTCGTTGCCATACCTTGTCCTTACCTCGTCTTAGAGTCTCAGCGTATCACCCCTTCCCTCCCAATCCTGTTGCTTCCCTCAACTTCCTTAACCCGCTCTTATCTCTTCCTCAATTCTCCCTCATCTCATCCCCCCCATCTCGCAATTAGGAGCGGAGCGCTTGATTTGGCATCCGGTATCAACATTCCCATGGCCATCAAACCCCATCCCACAACATTCCCATGGCCATCAAACCCCATCCCACAACATTCCCATGGCCATCAAACCCCATCCCACAACATTCCCATGGCCATCAAACCCCATCCCACAACATTCCCATGGCCATCAAACCCCATCCCACAACATTCCCATGGCCATCAAACCCCATCCCACAACATTCCCATGGCCATCAAACCCCATCCCACAACATTCCCATGGCCATCAAACCCCATCCCACAACATTCCCATGGCCATCAAACCCCATCACACAACATTCCCATGGCCATCAAACCCCATCCCACAACATTCCCATGGCCATCAAACCCCATCCCACAACATTCCCATGGCCATCAAACCCCATCCCACAACATTCCCATGGCCATCAAACCCCATCCCACAACATTCCCATGGCCATCAAACCCCATCCCACAACATTCCCATGGCCATCAAACCCCATCCCACAACATTCCCATGGCCATCAAACCCCATCCCACAACATTCCCATGGCCATCAAACCCCATCCCCCAACATTTCAAACCCCAATCTCCCAACCCCCCTCTCCGTCGTCTCTGCCTGTTCTCAGGAGCGGAGCGCTTGATTTGGCATCTACATGCGCACAACATTCCCATGGCCATTGGCACTGGGTGAGTGAGTGAGTGAGTGATTGAGTGAGTGAGTGAGTGAGTGAGGTGAGTGATTGAGTGAGTGAGGTGAGTGAGTGAGTGGGTGGGTGAGTAAGTCGTCTCATAAGACCTACTTCGGCCTCTAGAAATGTAACCACCACACCACACAGCCCTGCTCGCCCTCATGCGCCACTGTGTTGTCTGAGACCACCCTCAGGTCGTCCTCGTCTCACGAGGTGACTCTTGAGTCGACTCAAAAGTCACCTAGTCTGCTCGCCCTCATGCGCCACTGTGTTGTCTGAGGCTACCCTCAGGAAGGTTGTCCTCGTCTTACTTTTCCCCTTATCTCCCCCCTCCTCTTCCCTCCTGCCGCTGTCCACACCCACCACCAGCTCCCACAAGATCTATTCGGCCTCAAGGCAACCAACCATGGAGAGCTATTTTCCCTCATGCACCACTGTGTGCTTGCTGGGGGGTGATTCCGAGGTTGTGCGCGTGTGTCTCTTCTCCCCCTCTTTCCCACCACTCTCCCACCATCAGCTCCCTCAAGATCTATTCGCCCTCAAGACGACCAACCGTGGAGAGCTATTTTTCCTCCTGCACGACTGTGTGCTTGCTGGGGGATGATCCCGAGGTTGTGCGCGTGTGTCTCTTCTCCCCCTCTTTCCCACCACTCTCCCAATCACCAGCTCCCCCAAGATCGATTCGGCCTCAAGACGACCAACCGTGGAGAGCTATTCTCCCTCATGCGCCACTGTATGCTCGGTGACGATCCCGGGATTGTCCGCGTGTCAAACCCCCCTCTCCCCTACCACCAGCTCCCACAAGATCCACTTTGGACTCAAGACGGCCAACCACACGGCCCTCTTCTCTCTCATGCGTCACTCTGTGCTCGGGGATGATCCCGAGGTTCCCAAATGTCTCTTCTCCCCCTCGTTCCCGCCCCTCCCCCTCCTGCTCCTGCTGCTGCTGCTGCTGCTTCTGCTGCTGCTGCTGCTGCCACGCACCACCAGCTCTCACAAGATTCACTTTGGGCTGAAAACATTCAACCACACAGCTCTCTTCTCTCTCATGCAGCACTCTGTGCTCGGGGATGATCCCGAGGTGCTCTCCGTGTCTCCCTCCCCTCCTTACTTCGTAACCTCCTGCCACTGTCACCTCCCTATCACCAGCTCCCACAAGATCCACTTTGGACTCAAGACGGCCAACCACACGGCCCTCTTCTCTCTCATGCGTCACTCTGTGCTCGGAGATGATCCCGAGGTTGTCAATGGCAAGCCCGCTCCGGACGTCTTCAGAGTGGCAGCTGCAAGATTCGATGTGAGTACTTCCGCTGTGATCGAGAGTGAAAAATAACAAAACAAAACAAATCAATACAAACAAACAAACAAACGAAGGTATGTTCTATTTTTGTTGAAATTATAATAATATAGTGGTTCTGCATATCTGGAGAGTGGTTGAGTCACGATAAAGTCTCTAATGCAGGTGCACAGTCTGGCTGGCCTGCTCTGCAATGTCTCGAAACTGCACGTGCATTTCCGGAGGGTGAATGATCACAAACTGAAAATCTCCAATGCAAAACCACAATCTGTCCGGTCGGATGCCTCTCATGAAGTCCACATTTGACCTCAAAGATAGTGTCTAACCACTCGGATTGGAGAACATTATGTCTCCAAGTTCCTTCCTCTTCTCAAACGCTCCTTAGCTCCCTCCCTCCCTCGCACCCATACTCCCTCACAGTCGCCAGACAATGTCGCGGTGTTTGAAGATGCTCCACTGGTGCTGCTGCTGCTGACTAACCCTTTCTACCCCTCTCTATCCCTGTCTAAACTGTCTACCGCACTGTGTTCTTCCATTAGCCCCCACCGTCACCAGACAACGTGCTTGTATTTGAGGATGCTCCACTGGGCGTTGATGCTGCCAGGAATGCTGGAATGTGAGTGTACCTGAACCCGTACCCAGTATCACGTACTGTACACTGTATATGCATGTTTTTGACCCTTATGTTTTTACAACTGTCTGAAATGAAAAAAAACGATTCCTGCTTGTTTTTTTTCCTCCTCACTTCGTTCTTTTTCTCCTGTTTATAGGTGGGTGGTGATGGTGCCAGATCCAAATGTCGATGCTGCTCTCTGCACTAACGCTTCACTCGTTCTTCCATCATTGTTGAACTTCGATCCTGTCCCATGGGGCTTGCCTCCATTTCCAGCAGAAGTGTCTGAAACCTAAGAAATAAATAACATTATATGTTGTAGACGTTTTCTTATATTGCAAGTATTTTCCTCAGTCCACTTTTGCTTTAAATGCGCCCATTTGTCCGGCTTCGGGTATTTAGAAGGAACCAAATGCGGTTGTGGTAATAACTATACTGATCACCTTCTTAAAACCGAGATGCAAAATAGTGAACCCAAACCCAACTTGAAAGGGCGCAGGGACGAGTTTGCCAGGCGAAACAAAGTTTAGACGGACTGAGAAGTTTGTACCGTTTCAAACGCTGCGGACGTGCAAATCGAACACCTTTGATTGGTTCCCGCCAAAATTGAGACATTTTCCTGATCTGTGACGTCGCACTTCTCATTGCTGAGCTTGCACGACAATTGCACAGGCGATCGTTTCAGTCTGTCCAAGCGATTTGGGCCCAACTGATGTTTCAAGTTGGGATGGGATGAACTACTACCAATTTTGCTTCGGAAGTTCTAAGTAGCTAGGCTAGGCATAGGCTTTGTCTCAACTTAGGCCCTCGTTATCTACACATGTATTAATCAGAATGTCCGTCGTGTTGTCAGAACTTATATTTGTAACTGCCTGTAACTGTAGTTAGTGTAGTCATTATAAACTTAGTTTGGTGGTGCACCTTCTTTGTTTCCTATGCTATATGTTCCTTGAAACCTATAGTGAAATCATTCTTCCCAATTCTCTCGATCCTCACCTTTGGCACAAAACTACTCGATATCCTAGTTGGGCCTAGGCTCCTAAGCCTAGGCCCTAGTAAAACTTAGTTCATTCTCGCTCATCTCGATATGCTATCAGAGCAAGTTACGTCCTGGCCAGTGCGCCCGCCTCATGTTTCCGCTGCTACGTTTTTCCGGTCGCGCGCCAAAGGCGCGTGGCGATTTTCTCTTGTCCCGCCCCCGGTTGGCGTGTGACTCCTTCTCTGCCCGTCGCGCGCCCCGTGGCATGCGACGGTGCCCTAAACCTGCCCGTCGTGCGCCCCGTGGCACGCGACGGTGCCCTGCTCGTCGTGCGCCCCGAGGCACACGACCGGGCCCTAAACTTAAACTTACCCGCCGTGCGCCCCGTGGCACGCGACGGGCCTCTCCACACCTGCTATCCCTACAGCCGCCCCTGACCTATCTGCGCCGACACAATTTAGCCGCTCTGCGGCTTTCTTCCCGCCCACCCCCTCCCCCTTTGTCTCCCTGCAGCCGTGGGGAGGAGGGTATGGGGGTGGCGGGTGTTGGAGTGTTGGGTCGTCTCCTTCCCTTCCCCTCCTCCTCCTTTCGTTCCCACTGCTGCAGCTGCCGCTGGGGGGGAGGGTGTGAGGGTGTGGGGGAGCAGGGGGAGTGGCACCGGGGTGGCGGGTGTGAGGCAACCAGCAGCCGTCCCTCCACCTCTCCTCTCTTCCGAAAGCTATGAGTGTAAGCTTTTCAGTCTGTCCCTTTGCGCCCGCGTTTTTCCGTCCCGTCGCCCACGCGATCTCCTCTCACCTCCCTTACCCACGCGATTGTCGCCGCCCTTCCGTGGCTCGTCCCGCTGCCTTCTCATCGCCCATCCCATCGTCCATCCCGTCGCCCATACCATCGCCCATCTCGTCGCCCATCCCATCGCCCATCCCGTCGTCAATCCCGTCGCCCTTCCCGTCGCCCATCCCATCGCCCCTCCCTCCGCCCTTCCTATCTCCCCTCGCCTATCCTCTCCCCCGTCGCCCTTTCTCTCCCCCGTCGCCCTTTCTCTCACCCGTCGCCCTTTCTCTCTCCCGTCGCCCTTTCTCTGTCACGTCTGTTGGGCTGAAAAAGCCCTTAGGATCTTTGCAGAGGTGAATTCTGGGTAGAGTTGATGTAGTAGCGGAAGCGTCTTAATAAAGAGTTTGTGAACCACCTTGCGCTAGTATGTGAGGGCAAAGTGAATTGATTAAAGCAAAGAGATACAAGATTATATATGAATACAGAGAATATGAAGAGACACAGTTATAACTACTTTACCGTTGCTGTTGCGGTTCGATACAGTGACGACTCGGGCAACTGCTCTGTAAAGAGTCAGTTGTGTGTCCTTGCTGTCGCGCTGCATTTGTCAGGTCAAAGGTCGCTGACCTTTGATTTTCGAGTAACCTCCAGCGGTTACTTCAACCTCCGAGGGTTGACTTGCTGGTGCCTCGATATGCTCTGCTTCGCTTGTGCCTTTGTGTTTCGACACGACAGAGGCGCTTAGGAACTATTGTTTCCAACACTCCCCTTCGCTTCTGGAGTGTCGCTGACGTGGCTCTGTCCAGTCAGCAGCATGCAATATTCGAACTTCTGCTTTCCGAGCTTCTTGGTCAGGTAATCAGCTGCCATCTCGGACGTAGGGCAGTATGACAGTTCAAGCCTTCCTTTCTCGATCTCGTCCTTCACGAAGAAATATCGTAGGGCGATGTGTTTCGTCCTGTTCGCGAAGCCATTCTTGTTGGCGATGCGAATTGCCGACTGGTTGTCGCAGAACAGGGTGAAGTTGTGTAACTCGGCTAACTTCGCTTCTTCCAGTAGCTCGCGAAGATAGAGTCCTTCCTTGGTTGCTGAGCAGAGTGCAATATATTCTGCTTCAGCTGACGAGAGAGCAATTAGTTCTTGTTTGCTCGATTGCCAGGAGATAGGCCCGATAGGCTCGAGACGGTAGATGTAGCCGGTGCGTGATCGCCTGTTGTCGGAGTCGCCTGCGTGGTCTGCGTCGACGTAGCCCATTAGCTTAGGCGTTGTAGTTGCGTTCTTATGATTAGTCAGTCCGACCGTCGGGGTACTGACAAGGTAGTGAAGAGCGCGGTCGAGCTCCGCCAGATGTTCCGCTTCAGGCCTCTTGAGGTAGGTGGCGAGCTGGCTTGCAGAGTAGGATAGATCTGGGCGGCAGGTGACAGCTGCGAAGAGAAGGCAGCCCAGCTTTCTCTGGTAGTCGCGGATGCCGGCGGGCTTGAGTAGAGCGGAGCCTTCCTTGTTGTTTACTGTCGTGTAGCGGTACGGTGTGGAGATAGCTGTTGGTGTGAGTGCGAAACGCTTGGCGATGGTGTCGACGTATTTCGTGGCGCTGAGGTAGATAGCGTCTTCTTCTTGTCGGATGTTGAGGCCGAGGTACTGTGTGACGGTAGGTGAGACTGTGAGTGTGAGGTTGTAATACCTTCGGTTGAGCCAATGTAGTGTAGGTCGTCTACGTAGACGATTAGCAGGACGTAGTCGGTACCCTTCGAGAGCCGGTACATGCCCGGGTCGTGCGGTAGTTGCTTGAAGCCGATGCGAATGAGGCGAGCGTGTAGGTATTGTTGCCATATTTGCGGGGCTTGCTTGATGCCGTAGAGTGACTTGAGTAGTTGACAGGCGTGTTTCGAGTCCGTGCTGGAGCCGTGTGGTAGCTCAACGAGGATCTCGGCGTCGACGGGTGCGTAGAGGAATGCATTGGCGACGTCGATTTGCCTTAGCTTCTTCTTCTTCATGGCGGCGATCGCGAGAAGGATGCGTAGCGAGGTGTGTCGGCTGACTGGAGCGAATGTTTCGGTGTAGTCGCGGCCGTGCTCTTGGTCGAAGCCACGAACGACCCAGCGTGCTTTGAATTTGTCGATGGTGCCATCGGCCTTTGTCTTCACACGGAAGACCCATTTTCCGGTGAGTACTGTCTTGTTCCGTGCCACACCGATAGGAACCACCTTCCACGTGTTGCGTTCCTCCAGTGCCTTTAGCTCCTTGTCCATGGCTTCGCGCCATTTTTCTTTATGTTCCCCCCCCAGAGCCTGCTGAACCGTCGCAGGCTCTTTAGGAGCGACGGAGCCGTGGACTGCGGTGACGAGCCCGAGGATCTGCACTCCACTCTGTGAGTAGCGGGGAAGATTTACATCCTCGGGATAAGCTGCTTCGTCTCCCGAATCTGGATCAGGTATGAAATTTGGTCCTACTCGTTCTGCTTCGTTGGTGTTGACTATCGCAGGTGTTACGTAACCGTTGTCGACGAAGTGGTAGAAGGTTTCGGCGTTGGCACTTTCGCGAGGGTTGTCTTCGTCCATGGGAACGTCGACGGAGCAGAACGGAAGAGGTCCGGCTTCTTCTGATGCGTTGTCCACATTCTGCTCGTCCCAGTCTGCTTCGTCCGCTCCTGAGGCGAAGGCTCGGTCACCACGAAGGCCACCTGTGGGGTCTTCGTCTTCTTGCAAGTTGGCAAGGTACGTCTGGAGCGTGAGTCGTTCATAGAAAATTACGTCACGTGCTGCTACTGTTTCCTTTGAGTGGACCTCGAAGATTTTCCACGCGTTGTAGTTCTTTTCGATGCCCAGGTGTAGTCCCCACTGTGCTCGTTGAGAAAATCGGCCCGCTCGTGCTGCTGGGGGTCGGTACTGTACCATGCATCCGAAAACTCGTAACATTTTTGTGCTGCCCTGTTTCCCTGTCCATAGCAGATGCGGTGATGCGTTGTTCGGAAGCGATGACGACGACAGCAAATTGTGCAGCATGACAGCGTGGTCCATTGCTGCAGGCCATTGGTGGTTGGGTAGCCACATGCCACGTAGCCGTTTGCGCATGGTGTTCTACAGGGTCCTGTTCATTCTCTCTGCTACTCGTTGCTGCTGATGGGCGTAGGGAAGGGAGATGAGCTGCTTGATTCCCCTTTCCGCCAGGTACTGCTTGAACCGCTGAGAGGTGTATTCTCCTCCTCCGTCTGACTGGAAGCTTTTCAGTTGTACGCCCGACTCTCTCTCTGCTACTGGTAGCCAGGCAACGAAGGCTGCGAATGCCATGTCGCGGCTGGGTAGGTTTAGGTGCCAGACATAACGGGTGGCGGTGTCGATGAAGGTGATCGTGTAGTTGTATGTGACTTGTCCTGGTTCCCGATTGAACAGGATATCGCTATACACCTTCTCGAGTGGTGCGTACGCGGGAGCGCTTGGGTTGTGATGTGACGCGAATGGTCGATGTGGTAAGTCGCCTTCAGGGCAGGTGAAGCACGTTCCTCGCGCTCGTTGAAGTTCTCGTCCGTCGGTTAGTAGGACTGAGTCCTTGTCAAGTACTCCTGCTCTTATTGTATTGTTTAATACTGTGTTGCTTGGGTGTCCCAACCGTGCGTGCCAGGTTCTTTCGTTGGCGCGATGTCCGGATGATCGTCCGTACATGTCGGAGTTGGAGTAGAAGCTGGCGGTGAAGTTGGTGCTGCGATGAACTTCTCGTGGTGCTGGGTGCAGTTGTTGCGCTGGTGTTGGTGGTGTGTCGTCGATGAGGAGTGGTGTCGTTGAAGGACCAGCAACTGGTGTTGACATTCCTGCTGCTGCCGTTGATGGTTCTGCTGCTGCCGATGTTGTCTCTGCTGCTGCCGATGTTGTCTCTGCTGCTGCCGATGTTGTCTCTGCTGCTGCGGATGTTGTTTCTGCTGCTGTCGATGTTGTCTCTGCTGCTGCCGATGTTGTCTGGATTGTTGCTAACGCCCTTGTTCTTTCTACTTCGGGGATGGTGTGTGAGTACCAGAAGCCTTCTGGACTGAAGTCTGGATCAAGGTCCGGAGGGTGTGTCCAGTCGGTGAAGTTGACGATGGCGTCGCTGTCGGCAGTGCCAAGGTCAGGGACGAAATCAAGAACGAAGACGTTGTTCTTGAGGACCGCCCTGCCGATGTAGAGTCCTCCTCTCCCATGATACAGCTTGAATTCTTGAGTGGTACTGTCTGCTTCGAGATGAATCCCCTTCGCCATCAGCTGGCTGACGCTCAGTAAGTTGTAGCCGAGTCCCTCCGCGATTAGAACCTTTGACATCTGTAGTACGACGTTTGTTTCCCTTTACTGAAGTTGAACTACGCCTTGTCGTCGTGTTCGCAGGTTTTGGTTGTTGGCGACTGTAATGACGACTTTGCGTTGAAGCTGGTGTTCTCGTTGAACGAAGCGTCCTGAGGAACACATGTGCTGTCCGCAGCAACTGTCCAAGAACCAAGTGTCCCTTCCGGATGGTTCGCTTTGAGCGATGGCGGCGTATGTCGGGTTCGGCTGAAGTGACTCGCGGCGGGGTGTGGTTTCGTCGAGTTGTTCTTCCGGTGAGTAGTGTGGTGGTGACTCGGTGATGCAGGAGTCTGTTATCTTTGTCATGCAGCTGACGATGTTTCTTGCTTCTTTTGCAGGTTGTCCTGTTGAAGTCTTTGAAGCTTGAATCTGAGTCGTAAGATTTGTCTGCGTTGAGGCGACTTGGCTGCTTGAAGGCCGAAGTTGCCGCTGCGGGGTTGTTGATTGTTGACGATTCGGACAGTGTGTGCGCGGGTGTCCTGAATTTTTGCAGATGTGGCAGAACGGAGGTACTGGCTTCAGTTGTTGCTGCTGGTTGTTGTTGTTGTTGTAGCATCGCTGGGTGTGGAACGCGAACTCTGGTGCTGAAGTCTTCTTTTTGTATCGTTCTTCTTGCAGGTCCATGTCTTGCTGCTCGGCATGGATTTCGGCGCAGAGCGCTGCTTCGGAGATTCTTCCGTGAGCTCGGAGGATGGCTTTTGTGGCGCGCCATTGAGGACCGAGGCCGCCGATGATGACTGTCACGAAGGCGTCTTCAGAAATCGACCCTCCGCATCGAAGAAGCTTGTCGCGCAATTCGCGACATCGACTGATATACGCCATTCCTTTCTCCCCTGGTTTCATTTCAACCGTTGTCATTTGTGCCATTAATCGACTTTGACTTACACTGTCTGTTGCCTCTTCAAATGGTTGTACGCGAGCTCCGCGGAGTTACCGTAACCTCGGTAAGTCCTTATGTTCTGCTGTTGAGTCGGGATGATATTTCTCAGTAGGATCGTGTACGCCATCATTGACTGATAGGTGTACTGCTGCTTCTCGTACTGTGTGCCGTTTGTTGGGTATGGCAGGGACCCGTCGAAGAACCCGAGTATCTGCGCGCCTTCCATCATCAGCTCAAACTCGAACGACCAGGTGAAGAAATCCTTTTCATCGAAAGGTCTTGGCGTCTGCATCTTTAGAACATGTGCGAACTGCGACTGAACTTGTAGTGCGTCCAGTTGTTTTTCTTGTCCAGATGAGGGCTGTGGGTGTAGCATGAAGCTGATGGATCCGCGCTCGTACGGAGCAAAGGTAGGCTGTTGTTGCTGAACCACCTTGCGCTAGTATGTGAGGGCAAAGAGATACAAGATTATATATGAATACAGAGAATATGAAGAGACACAGTTATAACTACTTTACTGTTGCTGTTGCGGTTCGATACAGTGACGACTCGGGCAACTGCTCTGTAAAGAGTCAGCTGTGTGTCCTTGCTGTCGCGCTGCATTTGTCAGGTCAAAGGTCGCTGACCTTTGACTTTCGCGTAACCTCCAGCGGTTACTTCAACCTCCGAGGGTTGACTTGCTGGTGCCTCGATATGCTCTGCTTCGCTTGTGCTTTTGTGTTTCGACACGACAGAGGCGCTTAGGAACTATTGTTTCCAACAACGTCGCCCTTTCTCTCTCCCGTCGCCCTTGCTCTCTCCCGTCGCCCTTTTTCTGTCACGTCGCCCTTTCTCTTTCCCGTTGCCCTCCCTCCCGTCGCCCTTTATCTCTCCCGTCGCCGATCCTCTCTCCCGTCGCCCTTCCTTTCTCCCGTCGCCTATCCTCTCTCCCGTCGCCCTTTATCTCTCCCGTCGCCTATCCTCTCTCCCTCGAAACAGTCATCGCCCTTCCTCTCTCCCCTCCCGTCACCCACCTCGGCGCCCTGGCGCTCGCCCCGAAATGCCTGCCCGTCGCCCTTCGTTTCTCCCCTCCCACCACCCATCTCGGCACCTTCGCGCTCGCCCCGAAATGCCTGCAAGTCACCCTCCCTTTCTCCCCTCCCATCTCCCCACACCCTACCATTCCACAATTTTCGCTCAATCAGCTCTCTACGTGCGTTGTCGTTTCCTTCTCGTTCTTCGTTTTTTTATTCCTAACATAAAACTTCTCTGTTTTTTATGCATTTCTGCTTTTCCTACGCTGTTTGTGCCGCTCCAGCAGGTCCATGTCTGAGGCGTTTGTTGTGCGTGAATTGTGTTGGGCTGAGCTTTAAGACTTATTGTTCCCAACAAATTGCACATGCAAAACCTGTTGAAATTGGCCCCCTCGTGTAATCGGGAATCGCACGTCGCATTTGCACATGCTTGCGACATTTTTTGTGAAAATCACTGTGAAGACTTGAACGCGTCTGAAAAACAAAACAGAACAACGCTTCAACCGTCAAAAGCATTAAAAAGTTAGTTTGAGATTTCAAGTGGATCCACTAGAAGGGGGGGGTCACTATTTTAGCTGCTGGCTTTAAAATGACATGTTTTTTTTACTGAGCTGATAACAAGCATCGAGATTGCTTCTGCCCTAACTCGTGTTTTTTTTCTGTGGGAATCAAATGATCACCGTGGTCGTGACTCGTGAGTCAGTGACAGGATGAAGCTTTCACTCACTGCCACGATATCATAGACGACTTCATTTATGCGTCGCGGACGGCACCCGAACACGACTAGATGCATTCAGGTCGCGAAGCATTGCGTTCAACACTGAGTACACGGAGAAGTAAATCTGGAGTAGGATAGTGCATCAAGGCTAAACGACTAATCTAGTCTCCTGTCCGCATCTTTGTGATTGTTTGCTGGTAAATGGCCAAATTTCTTGCCGCATGTACGCAAGGCCGAAATTGCACAGTGGGGTTCACCATAAATAGCTTCGTAAATATCTTCGATATGATAATTTAATAAAGAATATCATTTCAACCAAAATTACATCCCACGGCAAGGATACCGAAAAATAGGGACTCACAAGTCCCTGCTGCGACACTTGCGCGTCGATACGCCATCCAAGCCCACGGGTCATAAATAAGAATTTACAGGGACAGTTCCTTCTTCACTCCGTCAACAACCACATAGGCGAGCGACGGGGTGATGTACTCGACGGTGTTCTCCAGCTTGAATTCCGTGCCAACGGGCTGCAGAATGTCAGAGAATCACGATAAGGGAAATTACTGTTAGATTCATGATAAATAAATGGAAATGGAAACACAAGTTGGAGATTGGAGGAAGCGAAACAACGTTCGGGCCTATCTAATGAACTACTCGTTCCGCAAATTCCCAACTTACGTTGTTGCCGGAGTGGATCTGCACGCCGGTGATCACGGCGTAATCCGCCTTCGTGCTATCAACGGCCACGCTGATCAGGTGCTCCAGCGTGCTGTTGATGACATCCACGGCCGCCTTGGTAACCGCCACGATGTTCGGCTCGGGGTTCACGGCGAGGAGCTTCTTCGTCAGGTTGTGCACCTCGAGATCGTCCTCCGACGCCTCCGGGAGGTCCTTGCTCGCGCTGAACTGCGCGGTCAGCGCGAGAAGCGCGCCGCACGCGCCGGAAGCCGCGGAGCGGCCTTCGCGGCGCATCTTACCGATAGCGCCGGTCTCGTCGACACCGATGTGGGTCAGACCGAAAAAGACATCTGGATAGGGTTAATAGAGTGAAGAGGAAGAGGAATAGGACAGGAAGAGGTGAGTTAAACGATGAATAAGCGAGAATCTAGAAACGATGAATGGGAGAGAGGTTCAGCAGGAGGGAGAAGCGGACTCGCTGGCAGAGGGCGGCTCTAATATTACATTTCGGAGATATCAACCCGTTCCAACCCGTCCCAGAATGAGAGGGAGATACATCGTCCCAGGATGATACCAAGTGTATACTGTCACATCTCTCGCATCACTCGTCACCACTTCAACAAATTTGTCATGCTGAAGCATCCGATTAGCAACTACTGAAAATTTCACTTACATCGCTCCTTGCCACCCTCGTCCTGCGGGCTGTGAGACGCGCCGGCCTTGATCGCAAGCGCGCCACCGGGCGGCACTCCCGCGAGGCCGTTGAGCGCGAAGGTGAGGCCGAAGTGCTTGTCAATGGTAGCGTCGAGCAGACGCGACGCCTCGTCACGGCACGTGCTCACGAGCGCGATGCTGTTGTCCTTGGTGAACCCATGCTCCTTGAGCTTTTCGGCGACGGTTGCGATGTAACCAGTCTCCTCCACGGAGCCCGGGAAGTTCGTCTGGATAGACTCAACGGCGGCGGGAGTAGCCTGCGAAAGGAGGGAAATTTTCGCGCAAACGATTATTATTATCGCTGTACTACGAAGCAGCTAATGCTGACAAAGGATAATGCATATTGCGAAAGGGCAGCTCTTTCCGGGATTTCCACGTCAGCAAGCTCACCTCCTTGGCGAAGACGGTGGAAGCCATGGATTAGTGAAACTGAAGAAAGTAACGAATATTCTGATGCTCAGATTCAGCGAAATCTGTGTCGCTTGAGCGGATTTGGAGAATTTGAATCAGAGCAATGGAGCTAAAATCGACGAGCTGAAGAATTGAATAAATTACTATCCATGCTGGCATTTGTACGTGGGACTGCGCTGCGACGAAAGTGAACAAGTCCCAGATTCCAGTCACTAGATCTCTCCAGTTCACTTCGTCCAATAATCAAGTTTGAAGTCGAGGTTCAGGGCCGATGTGGGCCTGCCACTTGGCGAACCGCGTATTTAGTGTCAAACTCCACGTCATGAGAGTCAGCAGGTGCCGATAGGGCAGCTCGGTAATTGCCACGAGTAGTTGATGCGGTGATTTGTGATGAGGTCCTCTGGGGGGCTGGGCAGTTACCATAATCTGCTTATCACCCTCAGCCAGCATTTTGGTTCTTCATCATCAAGTCAAGCTCCTGTCATTGAAGAGGAGAGTGTCTCAATCCACAGCACCACCAAACCCGAAAGCTGTGGTAAATAGCAGTTGAAGGAATTTGAACACCACATGGGTGGTTTGCTGGCTAGGTGCAAGGAGTGCGATATTGGGAAACTCGACTTCACTCGGCGCCACACAATACAGAATCACTAAGTCACTCAAGGCTACTAGCACTGTCTGTCATTCCATGGCTATACGTACTGAAAAACGCAAGAATGGCACAACAATGCCCAATATTATCTTCATTTAGCCTTACGATCTAGATAGGAAATTTTGCATGTTAGTATTCTGGTAGCAATGTTTTAAAAGCCACCCTTGGTTTTTTTCATTCATGTATCAGTATGCGAAGGTGCACATATCCCTATCACTGATGCAACCCAATCATGTGAAAGTACTACTGGTTTTAGAGCAGAAAACTGTACCATTGTACCTCTTATATTCAAATGGTTGCCGTACGCAGATTACTTCGGCAAAAGCCCTGCTTTCAAGTCTTGATTCAAATAATAAAAGGGTACACACCACCTCCAGCCAGTCCACCCCTCAACACTTGAACTCAACCCACCTGTCCTACAGACAAATCCAGCAACCCTAACAGAAACACCCAGACAATGAACAGGCCCGAATGGCCTTGACTTATCTGTTCGCAGACAGAATTAAGCCCTTATAGATTCACATAAATCAGACATCATAAGTGCTACCGGATTTTCTCCTGGGGCGATCCGCTGCTGCTTGGCTCATCTTGCTTGAGGGGAGAGTCTGAAGCAGCAGGAACAGCTGCAGAATCAGCAGCAGCCGCAGCAGGAGCAGTAGTATCAGCAACAACAGCAGCAGCAGCAGTCACTCCGGCTTCAGAAGAAGCGGCGGAGGCTTCAGAGGAAGAGGGGGAGGAAAGGGATGACGAGGGGGATGGGGAGGATGTAACAGCAGAAGATGACAAAAGAGGTGAGGCCAAGGCTTGCAGGGACGAAGCCAGCCCTCCCTCCGCCTTCTCCCCCGCCTCCCCATCTCTCCTCCCATCCGCTTCCCTCAGGCTTGACACCAGGCGGGAGATTCCCGGAAGCTTCTCCTGCAGCAGCAGCAGCTTCGCCCGCTCGTCTCTCCAAATTCTCGACGACTGCCCGCCGACATTCTCCCCTCGCCCAAACCCGAGCCCAAACGCAAACCCACCCATCCCCATCCCCATGCCGCCACCCCCTGAACCTCCTCCCACTCCCCCGTGCATCCCCATGCCTCCTCCTCCTGCTGAATCCTCTTCTGAGGCTTCGAAGGTCTCAGTGGCCGCTGCAGCAGCCATGGCCTGGACTTTCTCCTTCTCAGATCCCGAGGCGGTAGCCATCTGTAGCTTGAGGTTCTCATAACGGACCATCACCTCTTGCCGGCTGTGGTTGGTGGGGAGGGGGGAGAGAGGAGCAGGTTGGGAAGGGGAAGAGAGGGGGAGGAGCAAGGAGAGGAATAAGCCTAAGAAAGGAGGAAGACGGGGGTGATGATGAGAGTAGATCCCGAAACTGTGGCCATCTGTAGCTTGAGGTACATGTAGCTGACCATCACCTCTTGCCGGCTGCAGTAGGGGAGGGAGTGATTGAGAACAAGAGTTATGATTGAGTCAGGGCGAGAGTTCGTACTGGGATGTGAAGGTGTTCATTCAAGGTTACATCAGGATCGACATGAGTCTAGATGAGAATGTTCCGCGAGGAGAAGGCGGAGGGGAAGAAGCCGGGGAAGTAGCGCTGTAGGAAGGCAAAGGCTGCCACATGGCCCATGCGGCTTACTGGTGTTATTTGAGACAACTTATGAGTGACCCATGGAGAGAACACACTGGGAATTGGGAGGTGAAGTGGCTGAGTCAAGATAAACATGAGTCTACACGGGAACATACCGCGAGGAGAAGGCGGAGGGGAAGAAACCGGGGAAGTAGCGCTGCAGGAAGCCAAAGACTGCCACGTGGCCCACCGGGGTGATGGGCGCGATGAGGATGATGGCGAAGGGGATCACGACCAACAGATCTGTGGCCGTGCGTCGCAGGGTTTGCACCTGGGGGGCGATAGGGGACAGGGGCGATGGCATGGGAGGGGTGATGGGCGCGATGAGGATGATGGCGAAGGGGATCACGACGAGGAGGTCAGTGGCCGTCGGCGCAGGGTTTGCACCTGGTGGGGGGAAGGAGCATACGGGAAAGGGAAGGAGAAGCGGGGGGGGGGGGAAATGGCATGGTGATGGGTGCGATGAGGTTGATGGCGAAGGGGATCACCACCAGCAGGTTGATGGCCGTGTGGCGGAGGGTTTGCACCTGGTGGGGGGATGGGGCGTATGGGTGGGTGGAAACGAAGAGGGATGGTGATTGGGGAAATGAGGATGATGGGCGAAGGGGATCACCACCAGCAGGCGCACTCCTCGCCAGAAGAAGGATGCGCCCTCGCCCACCTTGCCCTTGGCCTCTTCTACTGCCATCTGCATCCCATATCTACCCCTCTCAACCCCTCTGAAAGTGCCCCTGGCCTCACCTCTCTGGCTTTGAGCGTGGTGCTGGTAGCAGCGACCCAGAAGAGCCGAGCAGAGTAGGCCACATCGCCAACCAGCAGCCTGACGCCCCGCCAGAAGAAGGGCGCGCCCTCGCCCACCTTGCCCTTGGCCTCCTTTACTATCAACAGCAACCCCCTCAGCCCCTAAGAGAGAGGTAAGCGCAGCCCTGGCCTCACCTCTCTGGCTTTGAGCGTGGTGCCGGTAGCAGCGACCCAGAAGAGTCGCGCCGAATACGCCACATCGCCAGCCAACAGCCTGACGCCCCGCCAGAAGAAGGACGCCCCCTCGCCCACCTTGCCTTTGGCCTCCTCCATTGTCATCTGTGCTCGCTGCTGCAGCGGCACTGATGGCTCCTCCATTATACCCAGACGGAACTTGAGGTCTGGAGGTGGGATGGGGGAGAGAGGAGAGACGGAGAGGGGGGGATGGAGGGAGGGAGATGGGGCGAGGGAGGAGGTAAAGAGCAGAAAAGGGAGTGCTGTGTGGGACGTGTTGGCCCCCTCGCCCACCTTGCCTTTGGCCTCCTCCATTGTCATCTGTGCTCGCTGCTGCAGCGGCACTGATGGCTCCTCCATTATACCCAGACGGAACTTGAGGTCTGGAGGTGGGATGGGGGAGAGAGGAGAGACGGAGAGGGGGGGATAGAGGGAGGGAGATGGGGCGAGGGAGGAGGTAAAGAGCAGAAAAGGGAGTGCTGTGTGGGACGTGTTGGCCCCCTTGCCCACCTTGCCTTTGGCCTCCTCCATTGTCATCTGTGCGCGCTGCTACAGCGGCACCAATGGCTCCTCCATTATTCCCAGACGGAACTTCAAGTCTGACGGGCGATAGGGGTGTGGCAAGGGATGGAGGAGGGAGTGATGGGAGAGAAGGGGACGGGATGGAAGGGGAGGTGGGAAAGAGGAAAGTGTGTTGGTTTGATGAACTGATAAGTGGAGTGCGAGTTGGCCCCCTCGCCCACCTCGCCCACCTTGCCCTCGGCCTCCTCCATTATCATCTGTGCGCGCTGCTGCAGCGGCACATAGCTCCTCCAAATACCCAGACGAAACTAGAGGTCTGAAAGGGGGGTAGGAAAGGGAGAGGAGGGGGTGTAAAAGGAGTGCGGGGTGTGCTGCAGCCGTCGCCCTCCTTTCCTGTGCGTGCTACTGCAGTGTATGTTTTTCCGAGAATTCTCAAAAAACATGTGCTGCAGCCGTCGCCCTCCTTCCCCCTGCGTGCTACTGCAGTGGCACTGATGGTTCTTCCATACGGCTGCAGGTCTGGAGGAGGAGTAAAGGAAAAGGTGCCCAGATGACTTGCAGCAGCGTTGAGCGCATACCGCTAGAGACGTGGGAATGTGGAGAACACGACAGTCATCAGCTGAAGGCTATTGCCGGTTTAGACACTATGACTACACACCAGGAATGTCGATCGCCAGCGCCTCCAGCTCCTCATCCTCGATAAGAATCGCCTCGTTTCTGTCCACAGCCGTGCGCAGGCGTGCCAGGTCAGCATCGAGCAGCCCGTACTCCGCCACGAGGAGAGACTCGTCCTCGTCTGACCGCATGTCCTCTGGTGAAGAGGGGAGGTGCGGTGTGGGGACGAGTGGGGGTGAGTGAGGAAAAGAGACGTTGTTAACAGCAGGTGCGGCAGGTCAGCATCTAGCAGCCCGTATTCTGCCAAGAGGAGAGACTCGTTCTCGTCTGACTGCATGTCCTCTGGTGGGGAGGGATGGGGAGGGTGGGTGAGGTGAGGTGGGGGGGAGGAAAGGGAGGGGTTAACAGCAGGCACGCCAGGTCTGAATCGAGCAGCCCATATTCCGCAACCAACAAAGACTCATCCTCGTCTGACCACGTGTCCTCTGGTGGGGAGGGATGGCGGGTGGGGGGGGGGAAAGAGAGCGCGAGGGTGTGGAGGGAGTGTTTAACAGCAGGCGCGCCAGGTCAGCGTCGAGCAGCCCATACTCCGCCGCCAACAAAGACTCGTCCTCGTCTGACCACATATCCTCTGGTGGGGAGGGATGGGGTGGTGAGGTAGAGAGGAGGGAAGCGAGGGGCTAACAACAGGCACGCCATATCAGCGTCGAGCAGCCCATACTCCGCCACCAGCAGAGACTCGTCCTCGTCTGACCGCATGTCCTCTGGTGATGGGGGAGGGAGAGGGGGGAGGATTACTGGAGGAAGGAGAGGAGGGCGAGTGAGTTTTGGAAGGGAGGAGAGAATGGGAGGAAGAAGAAACGCTTCTCTGCTCTTTGAGGGGTTCAGGTTTAGATTTGAGATGGAGTTTTGCAAATGCGCTTAGGGGTGTAAACGCTTGCAAGTGCAAGTGCACTGCGTGAAAACGCTTGCGCCATCGCGCTAGACGCAATGTGCTCAACACTACGTGCAAGGGAAGGTTTTCGGGCTGACCAGCAAATAATCAATCAACATAATCATTCTGTTTCCGCGACATTTCAGAATATAATTTTCTGGGAAACAGCAGCTCCTGCACGAAGAAGGAACAAGCATACCACCTGCATCTGCAGTTGCACCTGAGAGTGCAGCTAGCCGTCTGCTTGTTTTTATAATGGCAGCTGCCTTTACTGCTGGCATCTCAGTTGGAAAACTCACGGGAGTCAGCAGCGAACAGCAGCTCCTGCTCCAGGAAACATGTAGATGACCTGCATCTGCATCTGCATCTGCAGCTGCAGCTGGGCAGGTGAATGAGCTGCATTTGAAGCTGCATCACATGCACGCACCTGCTACCTATCTGGGTGAAGACTCACGAGAGTCAGCAGCAAAGAGCAGCTCCTGCTCCAGGAACATGGAGATGACCTGCATCTGCAGCTGCAGCGTGCTGCATGCATCTGGGCAGCTAGGCATACGCCACAACATGCACCTGACAATGCAGCAGGAACCTGGAAGTAAACTCACGGGAGTCGGCAGCAAACAGCAGCTCCTGCTCCAGGAACATGTAAATGACCTGCATCTGCAGCTGCAGCGTGCGCACTGCCAGCTCCTTGCGCAACTCGTTCACCTGCATGGTGAGAGGAGTGACACAGGAAGTGGTGTGGTGCATGGTGGGCGTTGAGAAGCATGGTGCATGGTGAACGGAGGTTATGGGTGCGGAGAAGCATGCTGCATCTGCAGCTGCAGCGTGCGTACCGCCAACTCCTTGCTCAGCTCGTTCACCTGCACGGATGGAGGGGGGAGTGGGAGAGGGATGCAGCCCAAGCGATGGGAGTCATGCGCGGGATGATGTGTTCTCTTGACTCTGCCGCTGCAGCGTGCGCACCGCCAGCTCCTTGCGTAGCTCGTTCACCTGCACGGATGGAAGCATGGGCGGAGGGAGTGGTGCATGGTGGGTGTTGTGGGACGGGGTTATGGGTGCATCTATTCGTGTTGGGCCTTGCGTCTGCACCTGCAGTGTGCGCACTGCCAGCTCCTTTCGCGGCTTGCTCACCTGCAAGGGAAGGGAAGCCATACAGGGAGTGGGTGTTGTAAGGGGGGGGAGGGGGGGGGGGGGGGGGGTGGTTACGCTACGTGTGCATGAACATGTGATGCGCCTTGACTCTGCAGCTGCAACGTGCGCACTGCCAATTCATTCGCAGTTCATTCACCTGCATGCACGGATTGGGTGGGCGGTGTGCAGCACCGGGCATGGGATTATGGGCGGGTGTAAAGGTTAAGGATAGCATGTTGCAGCTGCAGCGTGCGTACTGCCAATTCCTTTCGCAGATCATTCACCTGCATGCACAGGGGGTTTATGCAGGAAGTGGGTGTTGTAGGACGGGGGTTACGGCGTTGCGCTATGTGTGCACGGATATGTGATGTGTCTTGTGTCTTGACTCAGCAGCTGCAGCGTGCGTACTGCCAATTCCTTTCGCAGCTCGCTCACCTGCACGCACGGGGAGGTGGGCGGATGGGTAAATGGGTGGATGGTGGAAAGTGGAGTGGATGGTGGTACATGGTGCATGGTACCATCTGCCACATCCTTGCAAAATCTTATCCCTCCATACCCAATATTGGGATCATACCACGTCATGTGTACGCCAAGTCAAGAGGTGACTTTTGAGTCGACTCAAAAGTCACCCAATATTGGGATCATACCACGTCATGTGTACGCCAAGTCAAGCAGACCAGTCACGTGTGTGTGAATCACTCAATGCTTTTACCTCCCTGAGAAATCTCGCCCAAGCAACCACTTTCCTCTGCCCCAGCCCCAGCCTCAGAATACTCAGAACACAGACACTCCTAAGTCTCTGCCTAAGCACTCACCTCATCATTCAGCGCCTTGATCTCGCGTGCAAGCCTCGCCCTCACGAGCACATTTCTCTGCCACAACAGCCGCTGCTGCTCGAATGCTCATAGACAGTCTACACCTGTACAAAGAAGAGGCCTCACCTCATCATCCAGCGCCTTGATCTCGCGTGCAAGCCTCGCCCTCACGAGCACATTCCTCTGCCGCAGCCGCTGCTCCCTGCTGCGAATTGCTTCGTTCAGCCGCTTGTCCAGGGCCTCAACCTGACAGGAGGGAGTGGGGAGAGAGGAAACAGAGGAGGGAGGGGAGGGAGGGTAAGGGAAATGGAATCCCAGTTTAACAATCCGCTGCTCCCTGCCGCGAATGGCCTCATTCAGCCGCTTTTCCAGAGCCTCAACCTGACAGGAAGGAGTTGAGAAAAGGGAGAGAGAAGGGAAGAGAGAGAAGGCAGGAAAGGGGGAGTCGCACAAGAAGAGGGAGTTGGGAAAGGGAGAGTCGCCCCTTCTCGCACAAGAAGAGGGAGTTGGGAAAGGGAGAGTCGCCCCTTCTCGCACAAGAAGAGGGAGTTGGGAAAGGGAGAGTCGCCCCTTCTTGCACAAGAAGAGGGAGTTGGGAAAGGGAGAGTCGCCCCTTCTCGCACAAGAAGAGGGAGTTGGGAAAGGGAGAGTCGCCCCTTCTCGCACAAGAATAGGGAGTTGGGAAAGGGAGAGTCGCCCCTTCTCGCACAAGAAGAGGGAGTTGGGAAAGGGAGAGTCGCCCCTTCTCGCACAAGAAGAGGGAATCGGGAAAGGGAGAGTCGCCCCTTCTCGCACAAGAAGAGGGAGTTGGGAAAGGGAGAGTCGCCCCTTCTCGCACAAGAAGAGGGAGTTGGGAAAGGGAGAGTCGCCCCTTCTCGCACAACAATAGGGAGTTGGGAAAGGGAGAGTCGCCCCTTCTCGCACAACAATAGGGAGTTGGGAAAGGGAGAGTCGCCCCTTCTCGCACAAGAAGAGGGAGTTGGGAAAGGGAGAGTCGCCCCTTCTCGCACAAGAAGAGGGAGTTGGGAAAGGGAGAGTCGCCCCTTCTCGCACAAGAAGAGGGAGTTGGGAAAGGGAGAGTCGCCCCTTCTCGCACAAGAATAGGGAGTTGGGAAAGGGAGAGTCGCCCCTTCTCGCACAAGAATAGGGAGTTGGGAAAGGGAGAGTCGCCCCTTCTCGCACAAGAAGAGGGAGTTGGGAAAGGGAGAGTCGCCCCTTCTCGCACAAGAAGAGGGAGTTGGGAAAGGGAGAGTCGCCCCTTCTCGCACAAGAAGAGGGAGTTGGGAAAGGGAGAGTCGCCCCTTCTCGCACAAGAAAAGGGAGTTGGGAAAGGGCGAGTCGCCCCCTTCTCGCACAAGAAGAGGGAGTTGGGAAGGGGCGAGAGGGATGAGAGGAGTGGGAAGGGGGCAAGGGACCCAGCTTAATAAGCCGCTGCTCCCTGTTGCAAATGGCCTCATTCCAGCCGCCTGACCAAGGCCTCCACTTTGGAGGGGAAAGCTGAAGGAGGGGAGAGACGCAGGGGAAGAGGAAGGAAAAGGGGGGAGAGAGAAAGAGAGAGTCAGAGCAGAGGGACGAGGGGAGGAGAAGAAGAGGGGGAACAGACACAAGGACACAGGGCGGGGCAGGGCAGATGCACGGGTGTCAGGATCTTCAACTCCGTGGTTCTTAGAGGCATATGCATGGTAACCACGTCATAATGTCAGCAGCACCTGTGGTTACCATGCGTACGCCTCTAAGAACCAACGTACCTTCAGCGGCAGCTTGAGCTTCTTCTCCTCCTCCCCGTCACCGGTTGGTTCGGGCCGAGGCAGCCAGGATGACAGGGGCTCCAGCCCTGTCTCGTACGCTAGTGTCATCTGGTTACCAGCTGGCTTCGCAGTAGCCACACTCAACTGGTAACCACATCACTGCTAACCTCCAGCAGCAGCTTGAGCTTCTTCTTCTCCTCCTTGTCTCCCGTTGAGTCAGGGCGGGGCAGCCCGGATGCCAGAGGCTCCAGCTCCGTGGTGTTTCAAGCCGTACCTGGTAGCCACATAACCATTATATCACAAATCTAGCACCTCGTACCTCCAGCAGAAGCTTGAGCTCCTTCTCCTCCTCCTTGTCGCCCGTTGCATCGAAGCGGGGAAGGCCCGACACCAGGGGCTCCAGCTCTGTGGTGCTTGGATAGGCACCTGGTGGTAACCATGTAACACATCTACCACCTCGTACCTCCAGCAGAAGCTTGAGCTTCTTCTCCTCCTCTTTATCGCCCGTTGAATCGGGTCGCGGCAGGCCAGATGCCAGGGGCTCCAGCTCCGTGGTGGGCGGGCGGCCATTCAGACGCCGCCACGTGTCCACCAGGGTGCGCACCGCCTTCCCTCCCGCCTGGAACAAGGCACACATAGGAGGGGAGAGGGGGTGAGGGGTGGGTGGGAAGGACAGGAAGAAAAAGAGGAGGTTGAGGAGGCAGAAGAGAATAGAGCCACTTAACCCGGCATAGTACTAAGTGCCAGTGTGAGCCGTCAGATGACTAAGTGCTGGTGTTAAGTCGCCAGACTACTAAGTGCTGGTGTATGTAAGTCATACCAACCAGTAACCCGACGTTGTTCTGTTCCCGCTCACCCCTTTGATGGTGGGCAGGTCGATGCTGAAGTCGCCGAATGAGATGTCCACAGACGCTATCCTCTGCCCTCTGCCACTCCCTTTCCAGAACGGAGCACGTGTTGGGTTCTGAAACGTTTCAAGACGTTCCAATCCTCTCACGCATTGTATGACGTCTCAAGGCTCGCTCGTCTCAAGGCTCGCTCACCCCTTTGATGGTGGGCGGTTCGATGCTGAAGTCCCCAAACGAGATGTCCACAGACCCTACGCTATCCTCTGCCGACCCTTCTCCAGAATGGCGCTCGTGCCATGTGGTGTGCCCTCTCTAGCCCTCTGAGTCCTCTCAAGGCTTCTGAGTCCTCTCAAGGCTTCTGAGTCCTCTCAAGGCTTCTGAGTCCTCTCAAGGCTTCTGAGACCGACTGAACATCCGCTCACCCCTTTGATGGTGGGCAGGTCGATGCTGAAGTCTCCGAATGAGATGTCCACAGACGCTATCCTCTGCCTGACACGATCCAGAATGGCACTCGTGTTGGACAGCCCGCCCAGGCGCCGCAGCACCCGCTCCTGGTGCGGCAAGGGTGAGGGGGAGAAAAGAAGAGGGGGGAAAGCGGCAGTGCAAGGGGGAAAGGTTAGTGAGGTTAGTAAGGTCTCGAAAGTCCAGAATGGCGCTCGTTTTAAACAGCCCGCCCAGGCGCCGCAGCACCCGCTCCTGGTTGGACGGGGTGCCGGAGAGGGAAGAGGGGGAGAAGGGAAGTTGGAAAGGAAAAGGAAACGAGATGGGAGAAGTCGCCCCTTTCATCACCCCTCACCTCCAGGTTGGCCTTTCACCACCCCGCACCGCTCATCACCCATCATCTGCACGTTCGGACGTCACATTTATCACAGCTGCACTCCCCCTTACAAATTCATCTGTGAGTTCACATCTTATCCCCTCACCTGTAAATTCACCCTCTCACCACACCTCACCGTTCACCACCCCTCACCTGCACGTTGTTCGTCTCCTTATCCATCTGCTCCTGCAGAGCCTGCGCCTCCAGCTCCTGCTCCACCTCTCAGCGGCTTGCGCATCAACAAGCTGTAAGTTCACTTCCCACCACCTCTCACCCTCAAGCACCCCCTCTCACCACCCCTCATCACCACTCCTAACCTACCACGTTCAACCCCTCACCTGCTCGTTTCCTTGTCCATATGCTCCTGCAGCGCCTGCGCCTCCAGCTCCTCCACCTCGCACTGACTTCCGCATAGACAAATTTGTGAATTCACACCCTCCCACCACCCCTCACCGGCAAGCACCCCCTCTCACCACCCCTCACCTGCACGTTCGCCTCCTTGTCCATCTGTTCCTGCAGTGCCTGCGCCTCCAGCTCCTCCTCCACCTCGCGCCGCTGCTCCGCGGACAGTGACGCCTCGATTCGATCCGCCAGCTCCTCGAGCCGCTGCGCGAGCGTGCGCACCACGTCCGCCACGCCCTCCGCGGCCTTAGTTTCTTCCTGTGACAATAACGGGGATGACAGAACGTGACAATGGGGGAAGGGGGAGGGGGGAATTAACTTCTCCAGCCGTTGTGAGAGTGTTGTTATAACGTCGGGAACGCCTTCAGCGTTCGTTTTGTGCTGAGAACGGGGTTGACAAGACGTTGGGACAGCGTCGTCGCAACGAAACGCAACTCCCTCAGAAGGTTTGTCAACTTTCTGGGACTAAAACGGGAGTGAATGACGAGAACGAGAAAGGACGAGACGAAAACACGAGTTTACGAAAGGAGAGCGTACGAAGCGTGGGTTGACCCACAACAGACAAAAAAAAAAAACGAGTAGGGTGAATCCAAGAGCACGCAGACTCCCTTGGTGACCTACCGGGAAAACGGCGGGCAGCTGCCCGTGAAAGAAGTTTAGGTCGCGAGTCAGCGAACCGGCGAGCGCGCGGACGTCCGCAGCGCAGCCAAGCACCTCGACGGCGCTTTCCACCACTAAGATAGGCTTATCCTCCCCCTCGCCCTTCCGCTCTGCCACGCCCAGCCCGCGGCGGATCCAGTAGTTCGCTCCGCGCCGCACCTTCCGCCGCGCTTTAAGCTCCTGCGTCCCTTCCCGCTTCTTCGCTATAACGGGTATGGGCATGTTGAGCACGCGTTCGGACCGGTTCGCGTCGCGGTAAAGCCGCCGGAGAAGCATGAGGACCTCGAGCCGCTGCAGCCGTTCGTTGACTTCGGCTGCCACGTCAGCGCTGACGAGGCTATCGCGAGCCGCCTCCGCATCCGACGCGGAAACATCTGACCGAGACACGGTTTCGACTAAAGCTAGCGCACCGTTCAAGCTCTTCGAATCTGAAACGGCGACGTTACCGGCGCCGTCATTTTCGTTTTCGGCAATGTCTCCGCCAGTGGCTCGCGCATTGGCACGAACAGATCGGCTTCCTTTGCGAGTATCGAGCCAGCCATTGTCGGGTACAAACGAAACCACGAGAACGCAGGACAACGGCTCTGCTAAGACGAACGACGCGCGGTCTGGTCTCTCGGCGCTGGAACGTGCAGATACCGACGTCGAGTGTGACACTAACGAGGTGGATTTGCGTGAAAGAGAATTGGTCCGCAGCAGCACTTGCTGCGGTCCTTTCAGGAGCTTAGAGCTTCCCGTGAAAAAACCACCATGAGAGAAACTTGGCGACGCGTCCCTCGCCAGAGACACGGAACGTGTCAACGGGATCGCCATGGCAGCGGCGACTGACGACGTCGGTTTGGAAAGGCCGTTAACAACGCCGGAAAAATCGCGAAGACTGACCAGGCACTGAGCGCTCTACGATGGTGTCGAGATTCCTGGTGCCAGAGAAATGCTCAATGCACAACAGAGAAGGATCCGTTGGAAGGAAAAGATTCCTCTGCTCAGACAGCCCAGGACAGACAAGCTGGAGAGATTCTTCCACACACACACCAAGAGGGATGAAGATGCTTCTCAGTTAGACGGAAACGAGAGGGGTCAAGACGGAAGGGAACAGAGTTGACGTGATGACTGCTCTTGGCCAATCCCATCTCGCACGCCGCGGTTTTGGGCCAGGGGGCAGGGAGCAAACTTCAAGGTTTCCTTGGCTCCCCCATAGACGAATTTGCTGGTTGGGGCAGGCTGAAATGATTTGTATTGGTCGTGTATCGACGGTTCGAGAATCGGAAGTTGGAAGATTTGTGAAGCCTGGTTTGCACCAGCAGCACTCCACGCATTCCCTAGGTTCAGCAGACTTTGATTGGAAGCGCATCTGTTCTGTTAGCGAAACATGAGAGATGAGTGGTACACGCTTCGCGCTACCGTGGCAGCGACCTGGAGAAACCATGATCCAGAGCAGATGATATCACGAATCGTTGGGCAGATTCGCCACGTGGACATAGCCAGTGACACGAGAGTCCTCCGTGGGTGTGCTTCTTGCCAGAAGCCTCAGCCCCCTGTGCTAAGCTGCCCACATCGGCTCGTTCCTGCCACACTTGAATCACGAACTCGCTAGCGCGTTACAGGATGACGATGACGATGTCCTGGCCGCCATGGATTTCTCCGCGGATTAACGAGAACCTATTTCGTGAAGGTTACTTATCAGTTCGTAACTCTGAGACCATTTTCGAGTTCCTGAGTACATTACGAAGCGGAGGATATAAATTTTATGTCTACTACGCGGACATTATAACCTCGGCTACTCAGAGGTATCTCAGTGTTCCAAACACATTTCAAGCTAACCAACCTCAAGGGTTCCTTGATACTTCCGGCAGTTTCCAAGGCTCCTACAATGGACATCGCAACTGCAATGAAATTAAAAACAGAAACAACAACACTCCTGATCGCTATGCAAGACATGATCCCAAGGCTACGACCTCGGGAGTTCATCACTTCCTTCAGGAGAGCAAGTCACGAGCTCCGAAAACCTTTTATAAGGAGGTGGTGCTCAGTCCTCAAGCAGCATCAGCTCTTTTTTGGTCTCAGCCTTTTGTCAAACGGCTGCTTTCTGAGACTCATCATCGCACCATGCCCCGTAAACGGTCGTCAAAGGTCACTGCTGAGGTCACGCTCCCGGACGACCTCCTATCGGATCCGATCACCACGCCGGCTCCTGTTGTGGATGGGGCTGAGAAGCAAGGCTCAAACGATGCGGTTACTGTTAATGCAGTCACGGACAATGCTGCGCAGTCCGTCAAGGAATCGGCTACTACTACTGCTGCTGACGTCGCTGGTGGTTCTGGACTATCAGTGGAAGAGAAGTTTCAAGACAACCAGGCTCCTATTGCTGTGCTTGACGAGTTCCTGGAGGATGATGAGGATGAAGAGCTGGAGATCGACATTGCCAAGGAAGATGCTTTTCGTCTTCGTTATACAGCAATCTTACTCATTCCAATGGTGCTTTCTTAGGAGATTAAGGCCATTATTGCTGCAGTGCGTCTTCTGATGACCAAGGTCTGGAGCTCTTCTCTAACCGAGAACGCTGGGGTGACGGCTAACATACAGGAGATGATGCCTGGTTTCGTCGCGAAGACACGATTCTGCCGGCTTCAAATCTCCTTCCTCGACGAACGAGATGCGCATCACATCAAGTTTCATGTTTTTGAGTACTAGAAGGCGAATGCTCCGGCGATCAAGTGCATCTGGCAGCATACAGAGAACGCTTCGTACCTTAAGGAGAAGGCTACTCGTCCCCTTGCTATTGAAGTGGTGTTCCGGCGAGTGCCTGCTAACATTGTCCCGGATGTTTTGAAGGACCTGCTTGTCCGTTTCAAACTGAAGAAGCGTCAGCAGTCGGCTTTCAAGGAAGGGTTTGGTTTCCATCGGGTGGCTCACCCACTCACCGGAGCTGACACCGATGTTATCAAAGGCCTGGTCGTGCAGCATCCTGGGGATCGTTATCGCTGGCGCCACATGGTTGACAGCCCGATGGGGTCCGGAGAAAAGCTCATGGTCCACTACCCTGCACTGTCCTGTCAGCTCCGCAATGGACAGCATTATGACATTTATCATGATCTGTTCATCACAGAGCGGCAGAACAATATAGGGAAGTGGAACCTTACCTTGGGGAAAGCTCATAGTATCAATGGTAACTGCATCAGCTTTCTTCATTACATCGCAGACTTACCTTTCTCATCTCTCACTGACGATCTCTGTTGCGCTCGCAGCTGCTTCTCTGCGCACCTCCGCCCTCGTCACCCCCATACTGAAAGATCCATCCATCGCTCTTGTCTCGACCGGCAGCAACCGCGAAGAATGGATCTGCACGCAAGTGTGCTGCGGGAAGGCGAAGGGGAAAACTTTCTTGGCTGCGGCGGATCACATCATCTCTTCGACTCACCTGCTGAACCAGGAGAAGATGGGTACTGCCACAAAAGCCTCCATGGACAAGGCTGCTCTTGCCGGTTTGAAGAAGGATTACAGCTTCTGAGGCTGCGGAAGGAGAACAGTGTACTGTTGGCGATTGTAGGGTGGAGTGCAGTAGTCAGTGTTGTCACCATCTTCGGCCTGTGGATGAACAGGGGCCTCCAGGCAGTTATCAAATGAGTAACAAAAATTTATTCTCCTTAGCAGGCCTTATCGTCAACGGCCTAGGTGACAAAACAAAGCAAGACAGAGTCTCAACCTGGATTAGAACAGCAGCTGACATCATCATTCTCACAGACACAAGACTTCCGGATAACCACACTTACTGGAAAACTCCATCCTTCACCAAAGTCCTCACAACGCCACCCACTGATAAAGCCGGCGGCGTTGCCGTTCTTACCAGGGATCCCTCCGTCCTTCTCACGAACACCAGCACACACCCATCAGGGAGACTGATAGTAACTACCGCTAGCCGCTTCGGTTTCACTCTTACCCTCATTGCTGCTTACTTTCCCGCAGATGCCACTGACAGATGCTCTTTTTTGAAGAACGTTGTCGGCCCGGCTTTTGACCAGATCCCCACCACTGACCACGTAGTTCTCCTGGGAGACCTGAACATGGTAGAAGACCCAGTTTTAGATCGGACGTCACAATCAGGCACTTCCTTAGAAAACGACAGGCTTATTTCACGATGCAACCGCTTTCAACTCTCAGACGCTTTCCGCACGCTTCACCCTAAGCTCAGAGAGTACACCTTTTACGCTGCATCCAAGCAATCCAGCTCTCGCATTGACCGCGCGCTAGTTTCTTGCTCGCTGCTCCCGCATCTTGATATAGCTGCACACATACGGCCGGAGGAGTACATCTCAGATCATGGATTCGGGATCAAAATCGCCTTAAAAATAAAAGCATCTTCTCACCTGGGTCCTGGCATCTGGAGACTGCATGCAGCAGCCCTGGGCAGGCCTGGAATTCGGAAAGCGGTAGAGGCTGCCTTGGCGAAAGCGGCTGAGGATGGAGATGGTAATTTCGAGTTACTACTTGGGAGGCTCAATGCTGGTTTACGTGCGTACATGAAGGAGGAGAAAAAAAGAGTAAAGAAAACAACGGCTCATCTGGCGGAGGTAGTGGCGGAGCTACATCAGGAGCAGATGCGCAACCCGAGCTGTCAAAAGACGAGTGATCTGTTTCACGTCAGGGACGCGCAGCTGAGAGAGTACCATGCATCAAAACGGGACAGACTTCACGTGATGACAGGGACGGATTCGGAGTTAGCTGGGGAGGTCCCTTCGCCTTTCCTATCGGCGAGAGTCAAGGTCAGGAAGCAGAAGACACAGATTGCAGAGCTGAAGGTGGGAGGCGTCAAGATTTCTGACTCACCCGGGATTCTGACGGCCGCGACGCAGTATTTCACGGACCTTTTCGGCACTGACGGTCGGACATCAGCAGAGCGGTGGAAACCGCTTGCAGGGAGAAAGTTGGATGCAGAGTCGGCGGCTGGGCTCGCAGCAGATTGGACAGAAGAGGAGGTTAAACAGGCCTTCAAAGCGCTTGCAGACGGCAAATCACCCGGGAAGGATGGGCTCCCGAAAGAGCTGTTTGAAAGACACTGGGATGTCCTCGGCAAGGAGTTCCTCCGCATGGCGCAATCCTTCTCGGTTTCAGCAACCATTCCTGCAAGCATCAAAGAAGCGATTACTATTCTGCTCCATAAAAAGGGAGAGAAGGACAATCTGGACAACTATCGTCCGATCACACTTCTGAACTTCACGTACAAGGTGCTGGCGCGGGTGGTGGCGAACCGGATGAAGATGCACCTGCACAAGGTGATCTCGGCGGAGCAGTACGGCTTTATTCCCGCCAGGAGAATCTCGGAGGCCATCGGTGTGGTTGCTGATGTTATTGAGGCGGCGAAAAAGGGGAATGAAGACTGGTACATGCTGCTGGTAGATTTCCGCAAGGCCTTCGACTCGGTGTCTAGAAGCTTCCTTTTCAGCATCCTCAAGGAAATGGGCTTCCCAGAGAGATTCGTCGGCTGGGTGGAAGGTCTGCACAAAGACACAAGAACAAGGTTATTAATCAACAGTTGGCTGGGGGAAGCAGTGGATGTTAAGTCGAGGGTGAGACAGGGCTGCCCACTCGCTCCGTACCTGTTTCTCTGCGCGGTGGAACCGCTGGCGCAAGAGGCAGAGCGTCGGAAGATTGGTCTCTGCAACAAGGCAAACCAACGGTTAGCGTATGTCGGTTACGCGGACGACACGACACTCTTTTTGGATGGGAAAAGACAAATCGCCAGGGCTGAGAAGCTGTTAGCCTGGTTTGCTGGACTGTCAGGGCTGCAGACGAACAAGGGCAAATCGGTGATCCTCCCGATCGGCCACAACATTGGGAGGAGACCAGGGACGCTGGGCGGCTTTAAATGGGCCAAGGCGGACGAAGCGGAGAGAGTCCTGGGAGTCTGGGTCACCCCCTCTGGAAGCAGTGAGCCGACCTGGAAGCGGGCTTTTGAAAAAATAATAGTGGAGTTGATTAAGTGGAAGGCGCTCTTCCTCACGATTGCGGCGAGGGTTGTGATTATCAACTGCTACATCACACCGAGAATAGCATACCAGGCGCAGGTCTATCCCCCGTCAGAGGAGATCTGGAAGAAGCTCGTTAAGCTGATTCACAATTTCTTAACGGGGAACAATGCATCGGCTGAGAAAGGGTTTGTGCTGTGGAACTGGGGGCTGCTTACCACGCCGAAAGCCGACGGAGGTCTCGGAGTTCTGGACCCAGGAGTGCTTCTCGCCTGCCTTGCCGCGAGAAGGATTGGCTGCTTGCTGCTGGAGAAGAACAAAAAAAAAAAGGAAATCACGCTCAAGGCGGCGGGATTACCGCTCGGAGAGGACACGTTCCTGGCTCATGAACGGTTGCTGAAGCACTGGCCGGGAGAAAACGAGCGCTGGTTACAGACATGCGAGACTTTCATGAAATCCCCGATGGCGGACACTGGGAAGTCAGACAGCAAAGAGGAGGTGGCGCAAGAAAGGGTGGTTTTTAACCGGAAGCTGCTTCTGAACTGCACGAACCCAGTGGGTGGACAAAAGGAGGCTAAGGGCCTCTGGGGGACGAGGCTGGGTGACCTGGTAACCACGCGTCAGGACGGTACGGTGGAGATTAAGGACATGGATACGCTTGAGCGGGAGCTGCGTAGCAGGGACTCAGCCCGGCTGGCTCTCAAAGCACTTGATGCAGCCCCGCAAGAATGGAAGGAAGTGCTCATCCCGGATGCCAGTAGAAAGGGGGCTGGATCTGGGGTGAAAAAATCGTCTGGGAACAGCGGCGGTGGCGAACATGCAGCGGCTACAATTTTTCGTTCGGGGATTTTCACGAACGGGCAGCTGTCATCCCTGAAGCAGCTGAGGGAATCGTGGGCCGTGCCAGACGCGGTCTCCACGAAGCAGGAGAAGTGGGTCGGCAAGTGGAGCGGCAAGATAGACTGGGACCAAATTATCCACACCTGAAACTCGCTTGCCATCCCGAACCGACCGCGTGATGTCCTTACGCGTATACACAACCACAACCTTCAGGTTGGGGAGAGGGTGGATTTTCTCAGCAGTAAGCCGAAGTGCCCGTATTGTGGAGAGGTTGAGACACAGGATCACTGCCTTTTTAGCTGCCCGGTGATTCAGCCTGTGGTTTCTGGTCTCCGGCGCGCTCTGCGCATGCTCAACCCCACAAGGACATCTGCCTCGCCCGGTGATCTACTGTTCCAGGAAACTGGTACCACGTCAGAATTCCCAGAGGCTACACTAACGGCCATCACCTTCCACCAGTTGTGGGTGGAACGCTGCGAGGCGAGCTTCCGTGGGCAAAAATTCAGAGCCCGGCGGGTGCTCAGGAGAATCGGGACGGCTTTCCGGCTGCACGTAAGGGTGTACACGAGAGTGACTGGGGCGAAAGTTGTGAGGCCGGGCAAGCTGGGGAAACTCAAAAAGGTTAGGGGGGTTTTTGAAGCAGAACAAAAGATGCTGATGAGGATCAGGAAAGTCGGAGACAGGAAGTGGAGCTGGTCGGACAGCTTTGCGGCCATCTGGAACAGACCCAAGAGGGCTCTCCAACCGCCCTAGTTGTCTCGCTGGGCAGCGCAAGGTGCCTGCCCTCACGCTCAGTTACGACTGCTATTGCTGTATGCATTGTCCTCTTTAATGTATACTCCAATTCCAAAAAAAAACTTGAATCACGGATTCTTATGGCGGATTTTCGTTATCGCTCAAAAATACTGCGGCTAGGTGTTTGCAGTGTGCTAGAAAGGGTTTGTTCATAACAATAAGCATGGTACTATCCATTTTATCACGCAAGTCGCATACAAAGTTGGAAGCCGAGTTGGTCGAGGGGGCGGGGGGGGAGGAACTAGGTCCTTAGAGGGATCTGAGGCCTAAGGCTGGATATCTGACGACTGGCTGACTGAATGCTGGCTTCCAAGAGCTTTTTTGTATGTTTGCATGCACGACATGATTCCTTGTTTCCTTGCCATCTTACCCCCCTCTTTGGTTTAGGTGATGGATTGCTTGCTCTGCTGCATGTTTGCTTCCCGAACAACCAGTGGACCATGTAGAGGCATTGTTCCGTAGGTGCTCTCTAGCCATGCGTTGTCCTTCCCTCCTGCCATATCTAGACCTTATGTATTATTGATAAACGGCCCACTTGAGAGAGAGAGAGAGAGAGAGAGAGAGAGAGAGAGAGAGGGAGAGTGAGGGAGAGGGAGAGGGAGAGAGAGAGAGAGAGAGAGAGAGAGAGAGAGAGAGAGAGAGAGGGAGAGAGAGAGAGAAGAACCTAGCCTTTTCCCTCTGCTTAGAGCACTATACCCTCTGTCATATAAGGGCCTCTCGTGCCTTCGTTCCTTGATGATTCTGTGTGGTGCCATCTGTTGGGAATATAAACGCATGACTTAGTGCGTTTCTGTAGTATCGAACCTCACCCGATACTGAAGCATAACAAAAGGGGTATGAAGTCGAAAAAGGCGCGTACCACATCAAACCGCAACTGGAGGTTGCGAGCTGTAACCGCCTGGAGGTTACGTAACAGCAAGCGACGCTTCAGTAAACAGTAACCACCTCGATAGTCGAAGCGTTACGCGTCTCGATAAACATAACCGCTTCCTGTAATCTATCCTTCCTATAGATTCCTGTATGCTCTTTGCTTTAATCAATTACTTGTTCTTACATACCAGCACAAGTACATTCACTCAAAAGACTTCCGCTGTGCTACTCTAGCACCTACTAGCCTATTCTCTGCAAAGATCCTAAGGCTGAAATCCTCAGCCCAACATGGTATGAGAGCAGTCAGAGAACAAAGGCTCTCGTCACTAAGCCTCTTCCAGGCTACCGATCTGCAAGCAACCAAGAAGTTCAATCTTCATTCAAGAAAGACAAGACATGGCAAGTGGCAAAGAAAGAAGATCATCTACGGGATCTACTCTACCCCCGGTCTCCGAGTTGCATACCGAAGGAGGAACAACGCCCGCATTAACGCCGGAACGTTCTACTCAAGCGCCAGTAGCGCCGCCAACAATCTTTAACCCAAGCTTAATGGAGGAGTTCTTCAACTTCATGTCGCAGCAGCAGTCCTCACAACCTGCAAACAGCAACAGCGTAAACAACGGAGCGGCACCAATGAGTATTGACTACTCATCGTTCGGACGACATAATCAACAAACACCAAATTCGGTCTCACCTGGTTCCTTCACGTTCATGCCGCCTCGCCATCCAGCGACCCCTCTTCCCGCCATCAAACGAGACACCGAAGAAGTCCTGCAAGTACAAGCACAGTTCAACAACATCCTGCGACTGCACACATCCACACCATTCAACGGGAAGGACTTCTACTCTTGGAGCTTCGAGTTTGAACTCCTGATGGAAGGCGCAAATCTTCTTGGATTCTTCAACGGTACCTGGCCATATCCACACAACGGCGAAGACAAAGACAAAGAAAATTATACGTATCACTCCCTGATGGCTTACACCGTTCTTCTCCAAAACCTGTCGCCGAACGAACAACAAAGCATCCGCGCCTACCGGAACTACTCAAACTCCGCGGAACTCGCCTATCAACATCTGCGAAGCATTCATCAAGCATCCGACAGCGTTACACAAAGCCGACTCATGGCACAACTGACAACAGTTCAAATGCAACCTGGAGAAAAGGCCATGCCTTACATCAGTCGCTGTCAAGGACTACGCGACAAACTTATTCGCTGCGGAGGAAACTTATCTGAAGAAGCCTTTGTAACCGTCGTTCTTGCCGGCCTTGGACCTCAATGGCGCACCACCCGTTCACTTCTTCGCGCTCACGGTCGACTCTCCGAAATGCATCTCTGCGCCGAACTTCACGCCGAGCAGCAGGAAATGGACCTGTTCGAAGAACGCAACAACAAAAGGCATCATCAACCAGTCGTTCTTTACACCAACCGACGACAGCCACGTTACCAAAATCGAGGACACGTACCTCCTTATTGTCATCTGTGTCGAACTTCAGGACCCACACGCTTCAACTGCCCTCAGCAACAACGACAACCAGCACCATTCTCTCATCCTCTACGACCCGCGCCTCCCCACATCGCGTCAACTCAACAACGACCCGCTACCACCTCAACGACTACTTCAACGCGACCGTCAACTTCCACTTCAGGACCTGCACAAACATCAAGAATCGTCGCCATGGCACGAACAATACAGTCAAACATCGACTCGTGTATTACCGGCTCACCACCGACTTACAGTCCTGATGAGCAACCGTCACCACCACCGTCGTCTCTTAACGTGAATCTAACGTACGCCGCCATCGCGAACAGTGCACCCACCGAACCAGACACATGGTTCCTCGACAGCTGTTGCGGTCATCACATGTGCTCTTCATCACGATTTCTTCAGCGCGAACGACGTCTTCCGCGAGACGTCATCATCACCGTCGCCAACAACGAAAACCTGCGCACCAACAAACAAGGAGTCGTGGAGCTTCAGTCAAACGAAACAAACGTTATCCTTCAACTAAACAAAGTACTCGTCGTCGACAACCTCGGCTTCAACTTACTGAGCGTCAGCCAACTCATGTCGAAAGGCATTCACCTGGAGTGTGACTCCGACGCCCGGGAAATCCGTCTTCACCACGGAAAAGGGGGGGTCTTCATCGGCCGCGCAATCCAACAAGATGATGTGTTCGTCCTCGATTTCGTCCCCGACAAAGGCACCGCAGACAGCGACGGCATAGTCGCTCTCGCACCTTGGACACATCCGCCAGACCTCGACCCGAACTTCAGTCCTGAAGGCTTCTGGTACTCTCGTACCATTCCCGAAGCTGAACGCACCAACGCGCTTGCCGTCCTGCAAACACAGGCAACAACACCTGAGTCAGCACTCGTCATTGAAACAACAACTGCACCCGTCACAGCACCAACAACCACCGAACCTGCAGTTGAAGAACCAACCGTCGTCGCGGAACAACCTTCCGAAACTCCACAGCCCGGTCCCTCCGTCACACCACCACCTCTCATCATCGACATGCCACCGACAACCGCCCAACAGTTAACACTAGTACCACGCGCCGTTCATCAAAGTGCAGCAACACACGCCGCCTTCTTCGCCAACGCAGACTTCTATCAACGCTCCGTCGGTCACAGCGCCTCCGAAGACATCTGGCATCAACGTCTCGGACATCCTGGAAACAAAACACTTTACAACACAATACGAGCCGGAGTGTTAGACAAGAACGCCCTACTTCTTCCCAACGGATGTGAACTCGAACGACCACGCGGCACCTGCTTCATCTGCCCGGAAGCAGATCTGCCTCACCAACCGTTCCCGTCACACCACAATCCGAGCGCCCCCGTTTATCAACCACTCGAGAAAGTCTACAGCGACATACTATACATACCTCGAACTGAAGGACGTGAAGATCTGAACTACGTCATCACCTTCATCGACGCCGCAACGCGATATGTCTGGCACGTCAACTTACCATCACGAGACATGGCTCTAGAAGCCTTCACAACGTGGCTACCTGTCGCTGAAAGAGACTCGGGAGTAAAACTGAAGAGTTTTCAGTTAGATGGCGCGATGGAATACCAGTCACATCGCTTCAAACAGTTCTTGGCAGAAAGAGGCATCAAACGCCTCATCTCTCTTCCTTACGCTCACCAACAGCAGGGTGTGGCAGAAAGGATGAACAGGACCCTGCAGAAAACCATGCGAAAGCTGCTACGTGGAGCTTGACTGCCCAACTCAGAATGGCCAGCAGCGATGGACCACGCTGTCCTCCTGCACAACTTGCTGTCCTCGTCTTCCTTGCCCAACAACGCATCTCCGCACCTCCTGTGGACTGGGAAGCTGGGCAACACAAAAATGTTACGAGTTTTTGAGTGTATGGTACAGTACCGCCCACACACTGCACGCGCAGGGAGATTTTTGCAACGTGCACAGTGGGGTCTACACCTCGGGCTGGCAAAACATTACAAAGCCTGGCAAAT